GGTATGCACAATCTACCATTTCGAATCACAGACATTTTAGGAGAAAGGAAAGCAAGACAAGTTGTCGCGAGAATTTCAAGCTGCGATGGAACGAGCTTCGGATACTCAGGGCAAAGCTTCGGATGCGCAGGACAAAGCCTTGGACAATCAAAAGGTTGGAGTACCTGTAGTCCGATATGCGGTGAGGTCATAATGTCGTCCACAATTACTACTAGTCATCCGTTGGAGACTGATTTCTGCCAAGGGCCAAGACAAATCCACGCGCTAGCGGTGCCGTAGGGAGGTCAACGTAGACTACTGGGACACTGTGTAATGTAGAGCTTGTGTGCTGTTTGATATTGGAGTACCTTTTTTAAAGTCCGCAATGGTATTAATAGTTGTATCCATGCTAACGTTCGTGTACATAATACTAACGTTACTTTTGGTATGCATGCTTTTGGCAGCACAGTACGAGTACATGTACAGACAGTACTGCTAACGCTTAGTGCAAATCAGATTTTCACCGCAGTGGAGCAGCGCGCTCCTGGGTTTCGGGGAAGCACGACTTCGTTGCCGACGACCTGCGCTCCACGCGTTAGGCGCTGATCACTTTTATACCGAGCTTCGTGTGGTGGTCCACTGGGCTTTAAAACTGCTTCACTGAGGACTGGGAATGGAGTAGTGATCATCGACCAAAGTTCAGTACTGTATCGACGGAGTTTACTATGTTGACGTATCGGGAATATATAAACTACAGTGACCTCTCGCGCTGTGTTAGATGGATTGTCCAACGAGTAATGGCCGTTGGAGAACCGTGTGCCCCCGTTTTGAATTTACTCATTTCCCAAGATGCAGTCGATGGCGTGTCAACAGCGCCACGGCTGGCGTCGCCTCGTAGGATCATGCAACCCCCTACGCCATTCTGGACGGCCAATGCTCTGCATGCAAAGTGGATCTCCAAGCCGGTTTCAAGGACTTCTCAAGTTTTCAACCTCTGCGGACAAGAAAAGCGACAAGCGCAATGGGAACGATCACGACGACGACAAGAGCATGATGGAGAAAGTCAAGGAGACGGTCCACGCCAGCGTGGACAAATCCTACGAGCAATTGCAAAAGGTCACCCTCCCAACCGACGTTGAAGTGATATAGAACGTTGCGTAGCTCAAAAGTGGGTTGGAGTCCATTGACGAAAAGTTGCTCGGGGACGACGGCGTGGTGGACAAGGCCAAGGAAAAGCTTCACGCCGGCATTGACAAATCCCACGAACAGTTCGACAAGGTAACGTTTTGTAACGTTATGTACTGTACATCGCAGCCCCTAAGAGTGCGACGATGTTTTCCGCGTGTTTGTTTTGAGTACTGTAGCTCAAGAAGGACCTCGAGAGCCAAAACGACAAAGTGCGTGCCATGGCGTCCAAGTACTTTGACTCTGTGAAGGACAATGCAACGAATGTCCAGGACATGGTCCGAGCTTTCCCGTTTCTCCTTGTGGTAGTGTGATTTCCTGACGAGATGTGCTAGCTGAAGGACTACGGGGACAACACCACGGAGATGGGCATGGATTACTACGAGCGCGTGCGAGACTCGCTGGACAAGTGGAACGAGAGCTTGCTGGATCTGGAGACGAAAGCCAGCGAGTTTAGCGGCTCCTTTGGCAAAGACGTATCGGATTACGTGAAGCAGCAGCGTAAAGAGCATGCTGAGTTGACCCGCAAGGCGAAGGGTCGTAAGCAGAAGAAGCGCGATTGATCAAACTGCATATTAGCCTTACCCAATAACCAATGAATCGACCATGAGAGATGAGCGACAGCGAGGTCATGACCGTCATTGGACCCACCTGTAATCTAAGTAATCTAACAGTCTCAATTGTCGATAGTTTAACACTCAATCTGGTTGATCTCTAAATTTCACACGTTTCATGTGCCATATTGCTCTATCAACATCAACGCACGACCGAAAACCTCACTCGCTTCAATGGTCATTTCGATTGTAATCATGAACATTTGCAACCTGCTAAAGAGTACAACATCCCGAAATCTCCCTAACGTTAATGATAATCCAAACTCACAGTGTCAATTAACCGACAACCTGGCATGACCAATCATTTCCAATCGGAGGTAGTATCAATTATTAATAGTATGAATTGATGTAGCCGTGCACTTTAGCGTTGCTAACGTGGCCGACCATTGATGTGCCGATTGTCCATTGATGTGCCACGTAGACTCCTCTTCATTGTAAGCTCTCGCTGTGCTTTACAGTTAGGGTTGCCCACGGCCAGATTGCCCCGAGTGGCCGGATTGCCCAGTGCAGGCAGGTTGCTGCGAGTGACCATGTCGTGCAGATTGTCCTTGCTGACCACCGGTACAATGGCCACACTGCCCTGACTGGGTCGATTGTCCACGTTGCCCACCGGTAGATTGTCCGTACTGGCCTGGTAGAGCTTGTTGCCCAGATTGCCCTTGTTGGCTACTGGTAGCTTGTCCATATGGCCCTGTCGCGCCAGTTTGGCTCGTTTGTCCGCACTGCCCCGACTGGCCTTGGGTCTTGGTTGCATATGGGGACGACGACTCCTTGTCATCTTGACCAAAGGCGCTCTTGACCTACGTACGCTTGTGTCAAAGAGATGATGTCGAACCCTTAGTATGCCCAGACCTTGTCCTTCATTTTCTCCATCGTGCTCTTGTCCTCGCCTTGTTGCGCCATCGTGTTTTGCTGAATGAGTCACCTCACTCGGCGTGGTGGTGGACAATAACTTGATTGGACCGTTGGCACATTTTATGGTTGAGTTTCAACTTGCACATGGAATGGCACAATGCGGTACTACTCAATTGACGCGATATATCACACTTTTCAAGTGTCACCTCGACATCAATCCGTTGAATGACTATTGATTGTCCAACAACCAGTGGCGGTTGGAACGTCCTGAGACTTCGCGCACAACAAACTGAAAGTTTCTCCAGAGTTTATTCGCACTGGGCAGGACAATGGCGCAACACCAAGGCGACGAGAAATCGATGATGGACAAAGTCAAAGACTCGCTCCACGCTGGCTACGAAAGCACGTCGGATCAATTTCAAAAGGTATCGTGATGATGACATACTAGTCTTGTCCTGGATTATTACTAACATTGCGCAGTTCAAGAGCAGCTTTGAGGGGCAAGATGAAAAGACCCCTTCCAAAGCCACCCAGTTCTTTGAGTCTGTGAAGGGGCACCCTCCGTCGGAAGCCCAGGACACGGTAATATGATACTATATGTCATACGTCCAATCGACCTGCAAAGTCAATTCTAGCTCGAACAAGTCGGGACCGAAGCTCAAGACAGAAAAGGGCACGACGAAGGCTGCAAAGCTGGAGCCGACTGCGCGTGCCCTTCCGCTCCCGCGGAAATCCGCATGCAATCGACGGACCAGCAAAAGGGCAGCAGCACTGCCTAGACAAGCCGTCGTCTAATATTCAACCTCCATGTTCACAATATACTTCGACTTTATAACAACACATGCAATGTCGCCGTATATACCGTAGCTAGGAGCCGCAGATGATACATATTTTAATTCTACGTTCACTTCTTGGTCATGATACTTTTACTGGATGGCTCGGGGGAGGTCCTTTGTGATGGCACGGGTGGTTTGCACCGTGTCGACAGCCGATTCAGTGACGACAACTGGGCAAAACAGGTGCGACTCGTCCGTCTTGACGTCGCCGCTGGCCTTCCACAGGTACTCGTGCACACACATCTCCTTGAGGTACGCCTTGACCTCGTTTACTTTGCGCGTCCATTCGTCCGTGGCCACCACCGCCGTCGACTGCTCGGGCTCGTCACCCCCTTCGACCAGCTGGAGAAGCGGCTCGTGCTGCGGTTGGGTTGCGGCAGATTCGTCCCAGTTCTTGCTGTGGAACACCATCAGTCCAAGCACCGCCGGGAGGTACCACAGCGAACACATAAACACTTTCTGGGCGTTCGCGGTCGAGGGCGTGGCGTAAAATTGGCGCGCCAAGTTGACGGCGTACGCGTTGATGGCCAAACCTTCCAGCGCAAACATGTAGCTCGTGGCCCCCGACGCGGCGGCTGCCAGCGGGAGCGCCGTGAGCCCCACGGCGTATCGCATGATGACGCCGGCAGTTCTCGCCCCACTGGGGTCTGCGCACGGAATCATCTTGTAACCGCCGCGCGCGTAGTCGTGGCGAAGGCGCCAGCTGAGCGCAAAGAAGTGCGGCATCTGCCACATGAACAGCGCCGCGCCCGTGAGCATGGCTTCGGGTGAGAACAGCATTCCGTTGGCGGCGGTGACGCCCATGACGGGAGGGATGGCGCCGACGAGCGCGCCGACCCACGTGTTCCATTCAGACGTCTGCTTCATGGGAGTGTACACGAGCGAGTACAGGCCAATGTTGAAGAGACTCAACGACGCCGTCAATGGGTTGCACGCGGCTGCCAACAGCGCGGTACTCGTCACGGCGGTCGCGGCGCCGAAGGCTACTGCATGGTTCGTCGTGATGGCGCCGCGTGGAAGTGGACGCATCATCGTGCGCTTCATCATGGCATCGGTCTTGACTTCCCACGCTTGGTTGAACGTGTTGGCACTAGCGGCAGCGAGCGTCGTGCCCACCGAAAGCGCTGCAAACGACGACCACGAGATCGGACCGCCCATCATGAAGAATCCCGCGCCGGCAGTGAGCACCACCAACGAGCTCAATCGTGCCTTGGACAATTGGCTGTAGATCGTGAGGCGTTCATTGAGCGAGAGCGGCACGGCCACCGACGCTGCCGACACCTCGCTGATGGTAGACGATAACTGTGCATCTGTCCGCGTGGAGAGGCTCAATATGCGGAAGATTGGCGCATTGTGTCGCCGCAGGTGTGCCGACAGCAGGTGATTCCGTCGCAGGGCCAGCATGGTCAATGGATTTGCGCTCGCAGCGTTGGGGATGCTCTTGAATTCAGCAGTCAGTGCAATCCACCAGCCAGGCCGCAGCGCATTTTGTTTTAAATGACTTGAATAATATATTGGACATCGTATTTAAATAAACTTTTATCGGAGCCCTGATTGGTGGAAGCGACTCACGTTGACAAATCCAATTGCGCGACGTCCACATAGACATGACGAGCTCAAAGCGTGTTTTTGTCATGTTCAAGGCTATGACGTGGCACGCCGACGTACGGACAATAAATAGGGGGTCCTACGACACGACGCACTTGTCTTTGGTTGTCTTTTGCGACTGGAGTGGCGGCGGTTTCGCGCCAGGCTTGATGGGAGGCAGCGACGATCGCACGATCGCATCATGTTGGTCGGCGATGTGGACTTTGGCGGGCGTGCTGCGTTGCGCAAACGAATACGTCTTGGCCTTGTCGCTCTTGACCAACATGCCGGCGTCTGTCGACCCATCGCTAGCGTCGTTCATGGCGGCAATGGGCAGGGTGTCTGGAAAGGTCACGACGGTATTCAGGGCGGTTGTAGCAAGCTGATCGACGTCGAGAGGTACGTTGTACGTAGTTGGAGGTGGTTTGGTCACGAGTGGCGGCGCTACATCCGGCGACGCCAGCAGCAACGCCTCCTCCTGTCGGCCTTCCATGGCCTCCGAGTCGTCTCGCCGGTCTTCGATCTTTTCCGCATGCGATCGGTGCGTACCTGGTCGTTTTCTCGTCCGGTGCTTCTTGGACGCCTTTGGCGTGCTCGACGGACTGGGCGGGCCGCCACGCTCCTCATCCGTTTGCGTGCCCGTGTGCTGCACTGCGACCGACGCGTCGTCGGATTCAGTGTGGATGTAGCTCGCCTCGAGTTTGTCCTTTAGGTTGCGGTTTGTCTTGTGCAATTTGGCCACGACCTCGCCCAGTTGGTCTCGCTCCACCTGTGTCTTCAACAGCATCGCTCGCACCGCGTCCAGCTCTGCGTGCAGCGATTCCACTTCGACCGAGTTGTCCACAAGCAATGTTTCCTGCATTTGCAGCTTGGCCTCGGCCGCCGCCAATGCGTCCCGCATCCACTCCATCGAGTGCAATGACGACGACGCTGTTGTTGTGGTCGTCGTCGCTGCTTTGTCGTCCAGGGACACGACCTCGTGCGGCAACGTCTTGAGCGAACTGCTCGGCACGTTCCCAAACACAGAAAACTCGACTGGACTTGACCGAAAGTACGCAAGCAGCGCGGCCGAGATGGGGCATTCCACGCTCACGGCAAAGTCCATGACGGGATCCACCGATGCCGTCGCCGCCACCTGCGACACGTGATTCGTCGAGTCGTCCTGAAACCATCTACGGAAACGATCAACGTTGTTGCTGCACCACACAGGCGGCCACTGGATATCACAAAGTAATGCAAAGTGAATAGTATATAATTATAACCTCCCCCCCAGCCAACCACTGGATATATTCCTATTTCGTACTTGAACGCGACAAACACATCGCGACAGAGCTTGCCGGGGATGCCACGCAACGCTGACACTGCAAAGTGCAGTCGCAACGGTGTATCTATCGGTATATATTGTACACATATTTCGTCATGAAAACCCCAACGTCGACGTATATTGCGGAAGGGATGGGGAGATGGAATGGGTATGGTATAGGGGGGTTACCAAGAAAGGTGGCCAACGTAGGTACTGCGATGATGGGCGCAGAAGTGTCTTCAATCAGACTGCGCTGTTGATCGTGCCACTAATAACGCCGTCAAGGACACCAAGCATGAGCATATTACGAGAGAGATGTGAACCGTGTATGTACTTGATGGGAGAGCACTGTGGGCGTGATCTCGCACGAGAGCGTGCCGCACACAGTGCCGCGGTTGTCCAAGATGGGCACATGGTCCACAATCTAGGCAGGTCCCATGATGCTCTCTCTGACAACATACTAAGTAGATAGCGTGTTTGTGTCGTGTCGACCTTGAGTCCAAATTCCAAGCTTGAAAGGAACACGTAGGCGCGCCCAATCAATTGGGGTGTCGGGGGCTCGTAGAACGGATCGATGCTGCCTTCGGGGACTTCGATCGCGTCGTGGTTGCGCCCGTTTTCCAAAAAAAGCTAAACCTATGGGTTTGGTGTTGATGATATGAAGCCAGCCGTACCTGGTACAAGTCGCGCATCTCATAGATTTGGTTGTCAAACTTGTCGATGTCCCACAGCACTGACCGATACGTGCCAGCGTCTTGAAATGTCACGAGCACCTTGAGCTCGGTGCCGATGGCGTCGGTGATGTCGGCCACGTGTCCGAGCTGCGCCAGGACGGGCTTGGTCGGCATGAGCTTGACGGAAAACGTCACTTGTTTATGCAGTTCTTCGCAGATCGAGTTGGCTTCCTTCACGAGGGGGATCGTCCGCAGCAGGTCCTGCGCCAGCAGCGACCGCTCGAGCTGTTCGCGCTCCTTCTTCTCGGCCAACCGTTTGGTTTCGCGCATCTGCTGCTGCAAACTCTGCTCCAAATCGCGTTGCTTCTGCATCAGCTCCGACTGCTTTCGCTCGTACACGACCTCGGCCTTGGCCATCTCCTCGGCCAGCTTGGTCTCTTGGTCGGCTAGCTGCACCGCGAGCTTCTTCTTGTCCACTTGGCCGCCCTCTTCGGTCCGCTGCAGCTGGCTCTTGAGCTCCATCTCCTTGACCTTCATCTCTTCCTGCATCCCCCTCACATGCGCCTCCCACTCCTCACGCTGCTTGTCCATCTTGACATTAGCGCTTTCCTGTGCTTCCTTCATCCTACATCGACCCCGATGACCAAGTCCGACGACATGTATACATGCATGCATGCCTACCTGGCTTCCATTTCCTGGATACGACTCTCCATCTCAGCCACCTCCTTGTCGGTTTGCCCACCGTCGTCTTCCTTAAAGTCCATTTGCTTGCAGTTCATTTCCTTCATGGCAAACTGCCAGTCGTGGATACTTGCCGTGTCGTCTACTCTCTGCGCTGGGATCACCACCTAAGAATGACCATCCAGTTGGGTGTTGTTTTAGCCGGGGGGGGGACTATATCGACTGTACGAACTCGAAGGACATTGACGTTGCCAAGGATGAGCCGGTCGCTGTGCTGCAGCACCCGCGAGTTGCCGCACTGGACAAAGTCCCCGTTCACCACGACACTTGCCCCCGGCATGCCAGTGATCGTCAGCTGCGCCTCTAGCCTCTCCACAACGCAATGCTCCTTGAGAATTCCGAGGCCGCCCAAGATGATGGTCTGCGGCTGGTCGGCATCTGACCGCCCAATGCGATTCGGACCTAAGATGAATCGATGGATGGTGTTAGATGCATTGGCTGGTGTAGGCAATCAAGGGCAAAGTACCGTTCTGGAAGAAATAAAATAGCTTTTCACTCATCTGTTGGTCTTCGTTCAAGTTGAGAAGGTGCGGGTCCGTCTTGGCTTTGGCTCGAATGTCGTGGAGGTTTGTGGAGAGCCCAATGGACTTGAGTTGGTCCTCGCGTTTCTTAGCAAGTTCTTCCGTTTCCTTGAGCCGATCCGTCCACGATTTCTATCGCCATGCATCAAACCCTGTCACATATATATATATTTGCATTAAACCCGCTGGGTTGAGTACATACCTCGCTTTCTCGAAGCAGCCGCTGGTTTTCTTCGAGTTGCTCGCGAATCGCAGCCATTTCTGCCTCCTTTTGCCGCCGTTCGTCTGCCTCTTCCCTCGACAGCATGCGCGTCTCTGGCCGATTCGCGAGGGCAGCGTCTTCTCTTGACGCTATATATTCCATATTATTGTCAATATATTTATTATTATCAACGAGATTACAATGGCAGAATCGAACGTACTCATGCGGGAGCCAGGCCTTGCCCCTGGGTCCATGCCACCGCTCTCGATCATCGCTCGACGCAGCTGCTCCAGTTCTTCTTTCAACTATCCCCGTGGGATCACATAGAGTTATGCTGCGATATATATATCGTTGTATGTACTTGACGAATGAGCATTTGATTTGGGTCTTCGTTCACCACGGCTTGGTTCTTGATTTGCTTGGCGCGGTCAGCATACCGCAACGTGCCCAGCGTTTCCTACACACGAAACCCTGTCGCATGACGTTCAATATGTGACGACGGTGTGTGAATGTACTTGAAAGTTGACACTGGCGGGACTCAACGCGGCAATCATAATCGTCTTGGCATTTCCCCCCAGCGAATCCTTGAGCAAGTGGGTCTGTGTCCCTCGAGTTAGACGACGATTTTGATATTATATATATATTTCTTGATAAAACAGCGAGTAGTAGTTTGTCATAGCTCACCAGTTTGGAATTCCGATACGGCACCAGTGTCTTCTTCTTGCCGTTGGCGTTGTCGGCCAACGCCGAGATGCAGTTGCCCAGCGCCGACAGCGACTAGATCACCGTCCAGATCGATTACCAAGTCGGTCATCGCGATCGTACCTGGTTGATGGCCGCGCCTTCCTTGAGCCTCGCGCCAGTCGCCCCAGTGCTGGCGGCGCGCTCGCTGCCTGCCAAGTCGATCAAGTTGATGCGGCTCACCTACAGACACATTTGTTATTTCAAGTTTGATAACAGTATCGCAGGGTACTTTGTCCATCATTTTGGCCGTCGTGGGGTCCACCTGCGACTGCGTGAGGATGATCTGGAAGATCGTGTGGGCCCGAGAGCTTGTGGCGTTCATGTTGGTCGACGCAGTTGTGCGGGCCATGATACCAGCATCCATGAGCTATAGATAATATATATATATATATTATAGTGTAATATATAAATATTATATACCATACATACCATATATATTATATATATATAGTATACATAGTGTATTATATAAATATTATATATTTCGAAGGATATACTGGTAAATAAAACGATACGTACAGCGGTGATTTCATCATAAGACGACACGGCGCTGCGCGTGAGCCCGTCAGCGTACGGGCCTTGGCTGGGATGGTCGCGCACCTTGAGGTTGTCGGAGGATGGATTGAACAAGTCTAGAGGCGATTCGAGTGACGCTGCATGCATGTGTCCTGATGTAATTCCTACATACCTTTGACCTTTTCATTGTAGATCTCCATCATGCTGGCTTCGACCTACACAAGGGGGATGTTAGGGATGTACACTCATGGGGTATGATGGGTGCCTTGAAGATGGTGCCGTCGGACGCGGCGCCACCGATGCGCTGAAAGATCACTTCGGACGCGCGAGGAATAATCCCCTTGTCGGATCCGTACCCGACCATGGAAAACGACTTGCCCGCACCTAGATAAGTTGTCAAGGGGAAGCAGTTGGTGGGAATTGTCCCACGCACCTGTCTGACCGTACGCAAACAGACTCACGTTGAATCCGGTCCATGCATGTTCCAACACCTGATGGCAACAGTCAGTCCGTCGCAAGGAGGACGCATGACGAAGAAGAAGGCGACCTTGATCCCGAGATCGTCCCACACGATGTCCTGAGACGCATGCTTGGGGTCTCCAGGGGGCGAGAACGAGTCGTAGCTGCATGTACACCATAAGCTGGGCATGGAATGCTTGAAGCCGTTTCTCACCTAAAGTCGAACGTAAAGGACTTTTCGACGGCCGTGTCGGGGTCTGTGATGATGGTCTGTTGCGTTTCCTTGATCATGCCTGTGTGCAATGTCAGGCGACAGACGAGAGCAACCACGTGCACCACGTACGGATGCAGCAGACACTGTTCATGGACTTCTCTCGGTCGTTGAACGGCCGCACGCGCACCGCCACTTGCACATTGTCCCCCATGCGAGGTCGTCCGCCGCCGCGTTGGTGCAGCTAATTTGGTTCTGTGAAACGCGCCACAAGTAACTGCCATATATGGTGATACACAGTTACTTGTCCATGATACGAGGTGCATGTGTACATGGGGACTTGCGAACGTGCGTCCGCGCAGGGCGGGGCCATCAGGACATTGCTCTCACCTTCATGTTCGTCGGGATATTTTTGACTTCAACATGTGAATGGTACGTCTCATATGTTCACTGTCCGGCGCCCCAGGGTGTAGTAGCTTCACCACATGTTAATGACCACAAAATATATATATTCTGGAGCTATATATGGAAATATCCGTGGAAACCTAATAATAGTTGTAATATTTTCCATTCACAGAATTAGAACAGGTGGTCGTTGACATTATTATCAGCAGGCGCCTCGGGTCGCGCCGCCGAATCTGACTGCCGATCCCACTTTCGGATAAATATCCGGATATCGAGTCATCTGAAGTTTGTATGCAGCGAGACACCACACGTTGACTTCTGTGTGCGACACATTATTCTTGCAAGGGAAGGGACGACCTCAACATGCTTCCTTGGGCGTCCATGTTAGAGGCAGCCGCTGAACATGCAGAGGGCGACGTCCTTGCTTCACGAACCCCCTTGCGCAAAGGGCGAGGTGGGATTGCGGCACTCGCAGTACCTCCAGACGTGAAACCCCGGCCCAACGCCAAGCGTCGAAGGCAACAAGTCGACAAAACGGCTTCCGCTCGGCGTCCTCGTGTAAAGGCAAACGAATTGCCCAACATGGACGAGGTGGTGTTGTCGTTGCTGTCCCTTCGTCAGTCGCAGAACCCTCCAATGGCTATCATTCCCATGGCAGGTGGGGACGCAACCGTACAGCCCTTGCACAATTCACTGCAACAGCGCTTCCTATCACCCCATGCTTCTCAAATCAAACATGCGAACCATTCGATGTCGTTCATCTTGAATGGCGGCGCGTCCCTTGAAGACAAGGGGGGCTTGATTCGTCTCCCCAAGTTGCCTCCATTCCAGGCTCCCCATGCGTCCCACCGATCGACATCATCGCCAAACCAACAAGGGTCGACGACCGACGAGCGCACTCGCCGCGTGCTTCAAGATCAGCTGGATACGCTGCATCAACTTCGGTATGAGTATCACGACAATCGCCCATCGCACCTCCACCGAAGCGAGGACATGGTCGACGAGGACGACGACAGATGGGACAGCGACGATAGCTATGACGACGTCGCATCCACAAGTTCGCTCGACCCCAACCACCGATCTTCCTTGGGATTCTCAGACACGAGCGGCGTGTTTCGACGGCTGCTTCCTTCCTCCATCCATGACTACGACGATGCAGCACATCCTTCGTCGTCCAAACACCAAGCGCCGTTCTCCACGAGTTGGGCGCAACGCAAACGCAATTTCGAACTGCTGCAAGTCACCGCCCGTCTTGAAGACGCGCGACAAGACTACCTCGGCCACATCCACTCGAGTCTCGAAGAGGACATGCGCGTGCAGCGCCATTACCAGCACCTCCATCCCCATGCCCCGCTTCCCACCGACGCACAAGTGATGGCCATGCGAAGGCAGCGGGCGCGGGAAGTGTCCATGATGTATCTCTTCGAGACGAATTGCAGGAATGCGTACGAGATTGGCGCGTTTGCATTCAATCATACGACCACGAGCAACGTGTTCAAGGACTCGTTCTCGGACGTCCGTGGGTTGTTGGCGGCGCTGGAGGCGGTCCTGAGCCTGCGCAAGTGCTGGATCGTTCACGTCGAGACGATCCAGAACAACGAGCTTGGAGATGACGAAGATGTCATGACGTTCCACGTCGGCTTCCAAGTGTATGTCCGCGACAACGTCGGAGCCTGCAAAGCGCTCCTGCGCCCGGAATTGCATTGGCTTCTCCCCCATCTCATGCACGCGCGAGAAAGAGGGTTCGTGAGTGTGCAGGCCGCACTGCAATGCCGCTACCGCACGTTTGACGTGAAGAGCATGTACATCCATGTCGACGTCGCTGCACTCGTCCACAGCTTCAACATCCCGACCTCCTCCAATCCCGACAATATGGATCGCATGCCATCTACAAGAACCCTGAATCAAGCACGATAGACACCAAGGGAATAGTATTTATAGGCAATGAAGACGTTAATGGAGGTCTTGTGCCATGTCCACCCAGCTGCCACCGCATCGTGCGTGGCATTGGGAGAAGTGGAACAATGGGGCTTCATTACATGTACGCATGGGATTGGTGGAGCCTGCAAAGTTCGAACAAATTTCAGCCAATGGGATGCGACTACCCGCGTAGTCATTTGCGGTGAGGGTGGTTTTACTCTACAAATGAATATTGTTCCTTTGCAAATTGATACCACATTTATTTACACCCGGCAATCCCGAGACACGAGCACGTGGCGAGCACCTCCCGCGACTGCCGCTGTTCCTTCATTGCCCACCTCTCTTGTCCGCAGGTACATGCATGCCCATGCATTAGACTCCTTCCGTATATGTCATACAGAGGATGATGGAAACTCATTTGTTGTCTTGCGCTCACTAGAGTAGACAAGCGTGTGCGTTCACAACCACACTTCACACCGATGAACCCTCAATTCAATCAACAACCGCCAGGAAGCCAAGGTGCGCCTGGTTTCCGACCGTTCAACCCTGCACAAGGACAACAACCTGGTCCAGGCGGCGTGCCACCACCCGGCTCCGGTGGGTTTCCTCCAAACAGCAACGGCCCTCTCGGTGGTTTCAACCAACAGCAGCTCCCTCCTGGTGGGTTCCAGCAGCCTCCGCGATCGTTTGGCGGCGGGGCACCACCTCCTAACCAGCAACAGCCTGGCATTGCCCCACAACAATTTGGTGCACCGCGTGGGCCACCCACTTCCCAGCCAGGACCATTCTTAGGGGCGCCTCGTGGGCCACCTCAAGTTGGCGGGCCTCCGCTTAGCGGTCCGCCCGGAGGCGGTGGTACCCAGTTCAATGGCGCCCCCCGCGGACCTCCTTCTCAAGGCAGCATTCCAGGCCAGTTCGGAGCCCCCACTGGTACCTTCCCCGCACCTGGTCTTGCGCAGCAGTTTGGCCGCATGTCTGTGGGTGGTCCCCCTCCCAGTGGCCCGCCGCCGCAAGGTCCCCCAGCCGGCGGATTTCAGAAAGGACCCCCGCCTCCCCAAGGCGGTGGCTTCCAAGGGCCTCCTGGCGGTCAGTTCCAGCAAGGTCCTCCGCCGCCTGGTCAATTCCAGCAAGGGCCTCCGCAGTTCCAGCAAGGTCCTCCGCCGCCACCGGGAGCCGGGTACCCCCCGCAAGCCCCCCCTCAGTTCCAGCAAGGCCCGCCACCACCGCCGGGAGCCGGGTACCCTCCCCAGCAGCAGCAGCAGCAGCAGCAGCCGCCACAGCAAGGCGGCGTCCCGAGCGGCGACTTTAACCAGGCCGGCTATACCTCGAACGCGCCGATGCCGTCCACCGGGCAGCTGTCGGAAGCAGTGTTGGCAGCCCAATGCGACCCCCGATACATGCGCTTGACCGTGAATGCGATTCCGCATTCGCAGGAGCACGCAACCAAGTCCGCGTTGCCTCTGGGCGTGATCATCCAACCACTGGCCAAACCCGACAAGCCGCTGGACGTGGTCAACTTTGGCGCGAGCGGCGTCGTCCGATGCAAGGCCTGCCGCACGTACATCAATCCGTTCGTGCAGTGGGTGGACAACGGCCGGCGGTGGCGATGCAACCTCTGCGGCGTGTCCAACGATGGTACACCCCCCCCATCTAATGCCCTTCTGAGTTGATATCTCATTTTGTATTGTAGTGGCGGGTAATTACTTCTGCCACTTGGGGCCAGACGGCCTACGCCAAGACAAGGACGAGGTATACAGATTTCAATAGAATTAACGGGGTTGAAAGATGAGGGTGTTTGGTAGCGCCCCGAACTGCGCAGCGGCGCCGTCGAGATCGTCGCGTCCTCCGAGTACATGATGCGCCCCCCGACGCCGCCCGTGTATGTGTTTGTGATCGACGTGTCCGCGCAGGCCGTGGCCAGCGGCATGCTCGCTGTGTGCGCCGACACGATCAAGCGCGAGCTGGACAACCTCCCCGGGGCCCCGCGCACCCGCGTGGGGTTCATCACGTTTGACAACGCCGTGCACTTTTACAACCTCAAGGCGGGCCTCACGAGTCCGCAAATGATGGTCGTGCCCGACATCAACGAACTGTTCATTCCGATTCCGGACGAGCTGCTCGTCAACTTGAGGTGAGAGGGATTGCTTTTTATTTCTTATTTTCACATGTTACGTAGCGACTCGCGCGAGTTGGTCGAAGCGCTGCTGGACATGCTTCCCCGGGCCCATCAAAGCACCCGCAACCCCGACACGTGCCTCGGTCCGGCCATCCGCGCAGCCTTTCGCTTGATGGTGATCGCCCCCCCTCATCCTCTCCCTACTACTACTACTACTTGTCTTCTCATATTTTGAATTAGACCTCGGTGGGGGGCAAGATGCTCGTGTTCCAGAGCTCACTGCCGACGGCCGGCCAAGGATCGCTCAAGCATCGAGAAGACTCGCGGGTGCTGGGGACCAACAAGGAGCACGACCTTCTCAACCCCGTCGACACGTTCTATCGTAAAAACGCCATTGAATTCTGCCGCCAACAAGTGAGCGTCGACACGTTTCTATTTTCCCCGCAGTACACCGACTACGCGTCCCTGGGTACTAACCAACACACTCTATTCCTCACGAGGTTGTTGACCGATGTGGCTAGGCGCCATGTCCAAGTACTCGGCCGGCCAAGTGTTTCACTACCCCGGCTTCGTCGCGGCCAAGGACGGCGACAAGTTCAGCGCCGAGCTCGCGCACACGCTGACCCGGGAGACGGGATGGGAGTCTGTCATGCGTGTGCGGTGCACCAAGGGCATGCGCCTCGTCAACTTCTACGGCAACTCGTTCCTCCGCGGACCAGACCTCCTCGCGCTGCCCAACTGCCACGCGGACGCAGCATTTGCAATCGAAATTGAGCACCAGGACGCCCTGCTCACCGCCAGTGTCATCAGCATCCAAGCGGCGTTGCTGTACACGACATCGTGTGGCGAGCGCCGCATTCGCGTGCTCACGGTGGCCATCCCCGTGACCAAATGTATGACAACTTTCTTGAATGATATATATATATATATGAGGTAGTATTATGACTATTATTCACCAAGTTGTTGGCGCTAGTGTTTGCCGAAGTGTTTCGATCGGTGGATGTGGACGCCATTTGCAACATGATTGCGAAAAACGGTACGCTTTCAAGAGTCGTGTTTGGTTGCCCTTTATATATATTATTTATTATTTTTTACGGACGAACGTGGTATATATATATATTTGTAGCCCTGGAAGTGGCGCTCAAGAGCGGGTTGGAAACTGCGCGCAACAAGATGCAGACAGTATGTGTCGACATTGCACGCGCATATCGCACGAGTGGCGCGTACGGTCACAACAACCCGACCAACAACACGGGCTACCAGCTCCAGCTGCCGGAATCGCTGCAGTTGCTGCCCTTGTACACGGTATATATATATATCCCATTATGTAGTACTCGAATGACATATTTATTGTGAATGCATGTAGATGGCGCTGATGAAGAGCCCGGCGTTCCGCGGCGGCACCGACATTGGGTCGGACGAGCGGTCGCATGTCCAGTACACGCTGTACAACATGCCCGTGTCGTTGTCCCGCAGCTTCATCTACCCGCGACTGTTTTCGCTCCTGGACCTGGCGCCGGAAGCCGGCCTCCCGTCCGACGACCCGCGCGCCGTGACGGCCGGCGCCGACAAGATCGTGCTCCCGCACGTGCTCAACTTGTCGGTGGAGCGCCTCAACACGGAAGGCGCCTTCTTGCTCGAAGACACGCTCAGCCTGTACCTGTGGGTGGGGCGGGCGCTGCACCCGCGGTTTGTGTCGAGCTTGTTTGGCGCCGACTCGATCGAAGGCATCGACTGCCGCGAGCTGTCGCTGGCTCCCCCGACCGACGACGTTGGCACCCGCGTGCACAACATCGTGCAGGCGCTCCGGGAGGACCGCACCGCGCACATGAAGCTCCATGTGATCCGGGAAGGCCACCCCGTGGAAGGCAAGTTCTTCTGGAAACTGGTCGAGGACCGCGCGAGTTTTGCCGGCGGCCAAGCGTCGTACGCAGAGTACCTTGGCCAGATCAACCGCCTCAGCCACGGCGGCAAGTAGATTCGACATGGCGACTCCCCCCTCATACATACATTCATCGAGCATTCATTCATTCTTCTCTCTCATATAACCTCGATTTGATCAACCAAGTACTGGTGATGTCGACATTTCACTTTGCACTTGTACGATGTCGCAGTTTCTCTATGAGAGGACCAAGACAAGAGACACTTGTTGGTGGAGGTCGTGTTGCTGTTGTCCACTGGGAAGTCTACAGGCTGGTTCTGGTCCTACTACGCAGTATACGTACGCACGTAGACATACACGGTGATCTCCTTGGCCGCCCATGTGCCGTTAACTTTGGCTTCGCGGGGGGGATGGTCGAACAGCGTGCACGCGCTGCGCTTGCACTGCTTGGCGCTGTGTCGGCCGCACAGTTTCTTGGACACGATGAGGCGGCGGAGGTGGCGCATGTGCCGCATCTTGTCCATCACGGCGAGCATGAGGTCGTCGGTGAAGACGAGGTTGTTAATGAACACGACGGTCGCGTCCACGAGGTTGGCCTCGTCCGGAGGCCGCACAATGTCGCCTTGGACGATGACCACCCGCTTATGCTCGAGCACGTCGGGGCAGTTGGCGCGGAGTCGGCCGAGGGCGCGCTGTCCGATCTCGACGCGATTGGCAAACAGCTCCATGCCCTTGGACACGCGGCAGGTGGTTTCGAGGGCCACTTGGAGCACGGGCTTGCCGGTACCGCACCCGAGGTCGTAGAACACGTCCGACTCGCGCAGCTGGAGCAGCGGGATGATGGTTGTGGAGAAGTCTTGTTCCTGGATCTCGCCGTATGTGGTCATGAAGATCAGGTCCGCCTGCGACGCGGTGCGCACCACGTCGGAAACGTCGGCGCAGGCGGCCATCTCGTTGCGGACGATCTCGTCCGACACCTTGTACACGTCGCGGTCATCCTCGTCGACTTCGGCGTACGCGAGCCCGAGATGCTAATCACGAACGAATCACATATGAACAACACGACAAGGAGGAGCGCGGGGGACGCACGCGGAGGGCTTCGGACCGACCCAGCATCGGCGTCGGGGACTCGTCCGTGAGATCGAAAAACAAGTCGGCGTCGATGAGGTCTTGCCGATGGACCTTGTCCTCGGCATCGTCTTCCCCTTCGCTTGCAGAGTCTGCTTCTTCGCCGTCATCGTCGTCATCGTCGTCATCAAGAGTCAAGTCAATGACTTTGGGCTCTTGTCAAGTGGGATAAATGTTAGACAAGAACAGATATGCAGTGTACCGAATGGTATTGTGCGGGATGGCATGCTGCGCATGAGGCCTTGGGACCTGCCGCGGCCTGGACAGCATCAACAACATGATAGGTACATAAGGACATACGTGGACTAACGGCGACGTGGGCATTTGAGGTTGACGTGGTAGGTTCTGGAGACAAGTACACCGTTTGATCCTCTACACGAAAGGTTAGCAATACGCTCCAACGCATATATGGATCGTTCGGCGTACCTTCGTCGGAGTCGAGCACCACCACGGGCGATTGGCGGCGAGCAGCGCGTTTGTCCGTGGCAAGTGACGGTGGTTCAATCAGGCGCCTCTTCTTCCCGTTAGCGCCGTCTGCAAGAGAGGCTGCTGTTTGGCGTGCTTGCATGTCGTCCTCCTGGGCCACGCAGCAGTCTCCACTTGACGCTAACGAGTCGAAGACGAGTCGGCGTCGACTGGTCTCCATGTAGAATGCCTTCACGTGGGACGAAATCCGGATAATAGGAGTATTGTTTCCGGAACCCTACTTGCATGTCATATACTTTGAAGAGGTTTAGGTCACGTATCTGTTGTGGTTGATCATGCTGATTGCCTCAACCAAGATCAGTAGCTGCAGTATGTATACCCACTGAATAGGTAGTATTCTGAATCGTGTGCAGTGTAGCCTCGTGGTCTTGATTACTATACTATGCTCATCTAATGGAAGCTGTACAGAGATGAAGAGGTGGTCTCCTCCTGCCTTCTCGACACGGATATGAAACACCACAAACGATGAGATAACGTCATAGCGTCGTTCAAAGTGACGTCAACCCCCCAAATTCGATGGTCATCGTACTCGTCTCTTGTCCACAAACTTACGCTGCAGTGGCCTTGGCTTGTTGAATCCACTTGGCCACATGCTTGAGCTCATCCTTTCGCGCTCGCTTCACGCCGGGGGGGTCCAACGGATGTGAAAACATCAGGTCCAAGTGATGGGCGCCGCCTTCGACCCGCACGGCCACCACGGACGGATTCAGGTCCTCCAGCACCCCCATGCCCGCCCACGGGTCGAGGTTTCCATTGGAAAACACAATGTTGCTCGACGCGCGCAGGGCCTTCCGGCCCCCGTAGACTGTCGTGGCCCACTCCGGGCGCAGGGTGACCCCCCACTTAGCCAGGCACCGGGCGGCGTCGGCGGTCTGGTCATGCACGTCGAGCCAAAACATGTCGCCGATACCTTGGTCCTGGGGCTGGTACAGTTCCGAGCAGAACAGGTAGTCCCAGAAGTCTGCGTCCACTTGGCTTTCATTGGACGGGGCGGACCGGGTGTAGCACGGCTGGTCGTGGGTGCTGTTGTAATACACGCCAACGCTGGCTCGCAGGGCGACCAAAAGGGAAAAATTCCCCGCCTCGGTCAATGGAAACGTTGGCGCAAACGGTTTACACGCCTCGCGCACGGGAAACGCAGGCAGGACACTGCCCCCGTTCATAATGTACGACGACGGGTAGGGAAAATTCCCCATCGCCAAGTAAACGAACGACGTTTTGGCCCATTCCGGCACGGACAACGCATCGTCCTCGCTTAAGAGTGCACTGCAGAGACCCAGCCCATCTTGGATTGACGCCCGGCCGGCGGCGGTGGTCGCTGCGTCGAACAAAACGTCCCATACACGCTTGACGTTGGCCGCGCAATTCGCGGCAGATCCGGCGGCCGGGCTGGCGTCGTACGTCACCAGTTGAGAGAACGCCGTCAGGTTCGCCGGCGGAGACTCCCCCACGAAGGACAGAACCGGCGCGGACGCGGCCACGGCGCCGTCGATCACGTGCGGGTACTTGATCCTGAACCACGCGGCCAGCATGCCTCCGTAGGACCCTCCGAACGCAACCACGGCGCTGGACGTCGCGTTGAGCGACCACTTGATGTGGCCAAGCAGCACTGCGTAATCTGCTAATGCTTGCTCGGAGCTCAAGTGCTGCAGATGGCGCGCTGCGTCGGCCGGAACCGACTTGCCAAAGTACCGGTGCTCGGCAAACACGAGCAGCGCCCCAAACTCGCGCGCGTGTTCCCACATCAGCCCCGTGTGGTTCAGGTACAACTCGACGTCGGCTTCGTTGCCGACGTAGAAGAAGATGGGGCCGGCCGACGACTGCTGCCAGAATTCGTCGCACACGAAGTAGCGTTGGCTGTAGGTGTCTGGGATCGCTTCAAAGTGATTCAACGTCTGGACAAAGTATGATTCCGTGCATCGAGCGCGAAGATCCCCGGTGAAATTCAACGCAGGAAGCTCCGAGAGAATGGTGGACGATAAATTCGATCGAGAGGTGGCGATGGGTGCGGCGTACGGCAACGCTATCGTGCGTGCCACGTACAGGACCGACCCGATACATAGAGCTGAAAGGAGACCGATCGTGATGGCTGCTTTGTCTGAGGATGACATGCGCAGCATCTTCTTCGCGCGGGGACGACCTGTGAGCAGCGGGGTGCTGGCCTGCATGATCTCAAGCGCATTCACAAATTCTGGAAACATGCCAGTCAGTTTCTCTCCAACTCATTTCTATTTCGTCCAATCATCCTTCATAATTTTACAATCTTCCTGTTGATTGGTTGAAATACATAAATTATTCACGACGGTTAAAGATCCGCCTCGGTCTTTTGGAGGATGAATCGCAGTCGCGCGGGCTTGACGAGCGACTTCAACAGCGTCGTGGCCCCTTCCAAGTCGAGGGACGACGTGTCCATGTTGTTCACTCCGACCAAGATGTCGCCCATCTGAAGGACGCGGAGGTTCTCCGCCTCTCCTTTGCCCGTGAGGCGACTCACGACTACACTCGATCCACTCTGCTTCAGCGTCATGCCCAGCGGTCCCGACTCCCAGACGATCTCAAGCATGGGCGGACCCGCCGACAGATCGCTTGATGCCGGCGCGGCGTGCAACCGCGTCGCCGACAACCCCGAGTCGTCCAGACCCGAGTCTGTGGACATGGTGGACCGCGGGACGAGCTCCTTTGACGAATCCGATGACGATAACATCAACGGTTCGTGGGGGGCAAGAGGCGCGACGTGGTCGTCGGCTTCGGGGGCGTCGGACTCTGTTTCTTCGGCCGTCGCCTCGTCCACGGCGGTCCCGAACGGTTTGGTCGGAGAGCAGCTCACACACAACACCTCGTCGCTGCTGGCCACGGACGACGTGCGCATGCTGCTGGCGCTCGCCTCGACGTCGTCGGCAGCCGGGCGGTGGAACACGAGCGTGGCGGGTTTGGGCACCGCTTTGAGGAACTCCATCGTGCCGCGGAGGCCGAGTTCATGCACGTTGACGTTGGACACGGACACGAGGCGGTCGCCGACAGAGATGAGCTTGCATCGCGCGGCGAGTCCATCGTCGCCATTCACGCGCGAGACTACCATGGTCCGACGGGCATTGTCCTTCTTGAGGGTGAGCCCCAGGGGACCGGATTCCCACACGAGCGAGTAGTCCGACTCGCGGCTGCTCACTGTGGGGGTCAGGGGGGGGTCCAACCCCCGACGCGAGGCGGCAGGCGGGAGTTTCCGTCGGAATTCAAGAAGCACGGGCTTTTTCGCATCCCGCAAGAGCACGATCGACGCCTGGTAGCCCAAGTCGATGGTGCGGTGACCTTGGATGGACACGAGCTGGTCAAGCGCTTGGATCTGCGCGAGCGATGGGGGCGCCATGGCGGCGGGTACAGTGCGCTCCTTCACGACGGGGATGTTACCTAGCTTGATTATGCTCACGCCCAACTTGAGCCCTTCCTGCCACTCGATGGAGAAGACCATGTGATGGACGTTGTTCGGGTCGTCCAGGTCTCTGCTCGCAATGGACTCGTTCATGTCTGTAGACACGAGCGACGGCGCGGCACTGAATCGACGTGGGTTTTGTTGGGGAAGGGCGTGCTCGGACAAGGTACTACCTTCAACGGAGCGCGCGGGAGGGGCAACTACTGACCGCGACGACGACCCGAACGTGAGCACGATCGGGTAGTCCAGCGCACGAAGGCGGTCCATTGTCGCGTCGAAATTGAAGCTCGGCTCACCGTTGGTGGCCAGAAGGACATCGCCGACGCGGGCAAGTTGGATCACTTGGGCCGCCGCGTGCTGCTCGATGCGACGGATGACCGCGAGGTTTTTCGAGTTGCAACGGAACGCAATCCCCAGGGACGATGTATCCCACACTATTTCATAGTCGGGACGCGGCGGAGACTGGGGGAAGGACGCTTCTGACGGGCGTGACAAGTAATGATCCGCTTGCATGGAGTGCCGACTTGGTGAGATATGCGACGATGTCGTTAGCGTCGAGGAGGGGCCTCCAATTACGCTCCTTCGCCGCTGCATTTGGCGGGATACGATGCTGGGACGTGCCGTGAGGCCCGTGTTGTGCATATCAGCGACTGGTGCCCGATGCTGTACCTTGGACCAGTCGAGTAGCGACATCACAACGCTTGGGGATTATGAACGGTACTTTCAGTGTCAAACGTGGCGTAATTGGAACGGCCGAAAACACCAACTGTCTCCTCCGAGTCTCGTAATAATAATACCCTGATACAGTAATCAAGTTTAAAGGTGCAAGAATTCGTCCATTGACAACATCTGTCAACTTGTAAAAACAGGTCGCCAACCAGTTGGAACGGCCGCATTATCTGAATTCATGACTATGGCGACAGAGTTTGGGTTCTCACAACACTTAGTACATGTCGTGGCCGGGGCACATTTACAGCACGGGTAGCAAGGCTACTTATTGAACATCGCCATTGAGATTCAGCGCTGAAACATATGGGGTCCATTGATTTCATGGCTCGCAGCATGAGGTGGCATCGTAGGCCACATTGGAATGGCAAGAGGACGTCCATGAATGTGCGCTCGGTACAGTCCACATTCATGGACTGCTGTACGTCAGAAGAAGGTTCGTTCGCAGTGTAGCGCATCAAACTACCAATGGGAGTACTACCGGTGCTAGCGTTAGGTTGAAATTGTGGGCATTTCTCAAGGTGGAGACCCAAAAAGTTGTGATTGCGACGGTTCGATCAGATCGCGTTATCCGGATTTTCTCCGGTTAGAGTCTCATCCGCACACTGGCAATGTTGCCGATGTCTGCATGGCTCCCATTGTTGGCGTCGCTCGTGACTTGCACTGCGACCATCTACTACGTCTATCAACTGCGTGCTGCTGATAGTGAGTCCACACAGAAGAACGACCGCCCAGCTTCACGGGAAGTGCGATGCACTACACAGCGACGCGTCAAAGTTAGCAGCTTGGCCCAAGCCGATGTGCCCGAGGTGTTGCGGCCGTCGTACTACTTTCGCCATATCCGCGACTTCAAACACTACGACCTGTTTCAGAACTCCACGAATGTCTTCGATGTCCTCGACAGACTTCATGGCTACGTCGAACGGTGGTTGGATGGCTACACTCCGGACAAGTCCATGACGACGGTGGTGACACCGTGCAAGGTCGGCGAGGTGAGCCTGACCTGCTCCGACGTGTCCGTGACGAATGCATGCACGATCCTCAACTACAGCACCACCAGCCGTCGGCGATTATGCCTCGACGAGGGCGTCCGCATCATGGGCGGCATCTTCGACGTCACCGACGGGTCCATCTTCCTCGGCAAGAACGTCGTGGTAGAGCCCAACGTGTACATCAAAGGTAAGGATCCATTCCAGTGCCCAGCATCGTCGGGCTTAGGAGCCTTCCATGTTCTTTTGTATATTGAACGCTGGTAGGCCCAGCCATCATCGGGGACGACACCGTGCTGCGCTTTGGGGCGTACCTTCGCGGCGACGTGGTCACAGGCAACAATTGTGTCATTCGATGCGAGATCAAGCACGCCGTGATCATGGACAAGGCCGAGCTGGGCCATCCAGGTCCACCCCATATATGTCCAGCCAAAAGCTCACTGCGTTATGGGCAGGGTACTGCGGCGACAGTTTGATCGGATACAAAGGCCACTTTGCCAACCAAGTGTCGACTGCAAACCTGGCGCTGCTGGCCTCGTCGTCGCAGGTGGTGACCGTGAACGGTGTCGCGTACGACACTGGCCGACGTAAAATTGGCGTCGTGCTGGGGGACGAAAGCCAACTCGGGTGCAATGTCGCCACCGACCCCTGCACGTTGATCGGAGTCCACACGGCAGTGTACCCCCTCACGAGACTCAATAAGGGCGTGTACGGCCCCAACGAAATCGTCAAGAACAAACCACTGGAACATGGCATCGTCGAACGCTGTCAAGTCCGGCCAGCGGTGGAATAAAGTAGTATACTAGTAGTACTAGTAACGTTAGTAGTACTATTGTTGGCTTAACTGGTCAATCCGGTCAACGTCACCACGATCTTGCGGTTGTGGCCGTGGCCCCACCCCCCGACGTCCCGATGTTCACACAAGTAAACTCCTAAACACGTCGAGGTTAGGGTTGTTCTGGGGGAGAATCAGACAGACCTTGCCACGTGCCCAGGTTGAACTTGCCATTCGTCAGTGGCACTTGAATGGACGCGCCGATGAGGGTGGACTTGACGTGCGCGGGCATGTCATCTACAGTGCACGAATGGGTTTCGAGAGGACGAACACGACGTACCATCGCCTTCCATGGTGTGGCGGAACAGATCTCTACATTATTTACGTGTTTAGAACCAACGGAATGATATATACGTAGACAGACCGGTTCCAGCTCTCGGGGACGATGCGATTGATAGCGCCTTCCATGTCAGTTCTACAGACATGTATGTGAGTAGGAACGAGAATGGATGGGTCTTCGTCGGGGAACTCACCGCACGTCCGGGTCGCAGTTTTCGTTGAGCGATAACGACGCAGACGTGTGCTTGACGAAGAGCGTTGCCATGCCCACTGTAAAGTTGCGGATTTCAGGTACCTAATTAAATGTAGATAGGTCGCCGGTGGTGCTGAGAGGATGGCGGTGTACAGGCAGACAGACCCACCTGCTTGTACACTTCGTCCGTCACCACTGGAACGACGTGTCTTGTGAGACGACAGCATTACATCGATTACTATTGTCAGACATAACGTACAGTGAAAGCCGCGCGACGGTGCTGTAAGAACAATCTCCTACGATGGGTTCTTCATGTAAGTTTGCTTCACTTGTAGAGTACCTTCTGGAACCACGCGGACACTCCCGTCTTCATGCTCATGGTTGGGTGAAATGCAAATTGGCCAAATTCTACCCTAACCGCCATCCGTTGCACAAATTGGTAAACCCCGAAACCCCGCAAGCACTAACACTGGAAGGTTAACGATTAATCAACCTTGAGTTAACGTGAACGTTATTATAATAATTTAAAGTGTAAATACTACGTAGAAGTAGTATTGTGCTTTGCACCTTTTTTGGCAATTCCAGGGTTAAATTCATTGTTTAAAAATTTCTCAGGCTTAAATAATGTCTAAAGTAACTTGAATAACGGTTGGGTGCGTTGTTTAAAGTTACTTCATCTAATGCGATGATTGGTTGGTTGAAGGTGGTGCAGTAGTAGACGACATACCCATACCTATAACGTTACTATAATAATATGTGTGCGTACTTTCTCCTCGATGCAACTGTAGAAGGCACAACATACAAATGAAACGCTCAAACAAACATTCCATCGTTTGTATGCAGGTCACTCACAATTCAATCACACTCCCAAAAGCAACAACGGCATATCAAGGCAGAAATATGATACACATCGGTGCCCGTGCAATTGCGCGACAGACAGTGCAATGGCGCGGCCTCGGTGCCAAAACATCATCACATGTCCGTCGTTATTTCTCCACCACAGTCGACGAGCGTGATAAATCCACCACGAAACCGAAGGAGGCCGTCGCAACGGCCCCCGACCCCCCCCTGACTGACATGCCGGACCACCAACTGCAGCGCATCGTGACGAATGTGTACACGTCGGACGAGAGCACTGGGAACGAACCCCCACGGGAAGACCGAAACGAGCCCGACCATACTCCTGATGACAGGACAAACCTTGCCGATTTACCCGGTCAGCAATTGCAGCGCCTCGTGTCGAACGTTTACACTGTCGTGGAGGGGGACCTCAAGTCGTCCTGGAGTCGCGTGCTGGCTGTGCAGACCGTGACGGACAGCCGCCTGCGACAGAACGCGTACGTGTTGGCGCAATTGGGCACGGGCATCCGCGTGGCCCCCAACCCCAACGCCATCGAGGCCGACGAATTGCGTACGTGGCCCCCCTGTCTAGAATTCATTCACAGTGTACTCGCAGTGGACGATGGCAGCAGTCGCCTTGAAACCGAGTTTCCGATCGTTGGGGGGCAAGCCAAGGCCAAGGTGTGCGTGACGGCAGTGATTGACGCGGGCAACTGCATGCACTACTCTCGGTTTCTATGTATGCGACGTTTCTATCGTTGTCACGGGTTGAAATAACTTTGTAGATGTGAATGACGAAACTGGAGAGACCATCGATTTCATGTGCCCCATGGGCCAACTCACTGGCATCCGCCTCGACTCCGACTACAAAGAGATCAAGACCCCGCCCCCCAGTGTGTTTTGAGGCAGCCCTCGAATTGTATTAATAAAACTCCAACACAAAGTCTGACCAATATATGTTGTTAAGCCCAGTGGCTTCCTCCTCACGACCCCCGACGACCAGCATGGCCCCACTCCAACGACCATGCATGGATGGATTCTGCTAGGCCATGTCGTGAAGCAGCCTTGGAATGACAGCGTCGCATTCGTGTCGACACCCCTGTAGTGCAGCCGCGGCCTCCTCGTCAAGGCGTAGCCACTGTAATGCTCCAGTTGTGGTTTCTAGCCTAGTTCCTACCCGCAGCTGCCGCGTCAACATGGACTGAATCAACATCAGTCATCGCGACTGTCCTTGTGTTGCTTCGGCACGCCATCGCAGCATTCGCTGGTGCGCCCCTTCCGACGTGACCATGTGGAGCCACATCCAGCTCGCCGACGCGATCCCGATCTTCACTGCCGGCCAAGTGCACTCTGCGTTTGCCACGTATTGACGATCTGGCCTGTGAAACCGCCGATTCAAATAAAATCAAGTACCGGAGTACTTAGTAACTTACTGTTAGTATTAATACTAACATATGAACCCCGAAACCCCGAAACTGCAACCCAACCACTCTGAATGTGTGTCGCTGCGGATTGATGGTCGTGGAGGAGTGCAGGTCAATCGAGTTTTCTGGACGCCACTGCAAATAATCGGGCCGATGTTGGCACGGACTGTCGCTCGACGCACGCCAGCGATGGCCTCCTTGACCAGATCGCGCATGGTCCCGCCTACCTCCATGATGAATGCCGTTCTGGCACCCCAACAGTACATGTTGCGCTCGCCAACTATCCCCCAGCTGTTGAAGCCGTTGGCAATCGTCCCATCTCGTCGATACTACTCGTCCAACAATTTTGACGACTGGCGCCGCAACACGTCTCTGGCAGACAAGATCAAGACCGGCGCTGTCGTTGTCGCCGGACTTGGCGTGTTCACCCTGGTGTCGTCCGGTACATCTTCCTCTTACGCTACATGGATAGACTTGAGTGAATCCTGACCACGTTGTAGCCGCGTTTGGCTTGTTTATTACGGGAGCGCTCGGTCTAGGAGCGTACAGTCTGTACCAATCGTTTCGTCACCGAGGTGCATTCCGAGCGTTGCAGCAGCAGCATCCGTTTTCGTCCCCTGATTCACCGTTTGGGTCCATCTTCCATCAGCTGTCCAAACGACAACGCGGCGCCTCGCGTGGGATGCCCCTTGTCGCCACGGGGTTGATGACAGGACTTCTTCGCGTCTTCGGCGGCATCTTTAAGCAGTCATGGAACCGCGTTGTCGCGGTACAGACCCATGTGGAGGCCACGCTGCAAAAGCATCCGTCCATCCGATCGCAGCTTGGGTCCAACATGTCCGTGTCGAGTCCCGACCAAGTGACTGAACAAAGTATGCGATAATGATGGTCTATTTGGTAGCATTTGACCAACATTCGTTGACGTGTAGCGGTGAATGGCGTCGGTCGCCTGGACGCGCGGTTCCCGATCGTCGGCGGTCGCCATCGCGCGTACGTGGTGGTCTCCGCTTCCATCGACGCCACTTCCAACCGGTTGACCTACCACAAGCTCACGTACGTCAACGCTTCCACGGGCGAGACGCGGGATTTGCTGCAGGAGGGCGGCAAGGCGTCCGTCGTGTTGGACGCCGAGTACAGGGAAATCCATTAACCTATGTGACTGAACCTGTGGCGGTTGTTGCTAAGTGTTTACTGAAGAATTCAGTACTGTAATGTACTACTAGTAGGTAGTAGTTAGTAGGCTTCACAGTGTTATCACACAGTAGGCCCAATGTGTATGTATGTATGGCGAGTCGGAGAGTTTCGAAGTGGATTCAAGTGCCCCCTTTTGGTGAATCCTTAGCCTACCACGTCATACACTGTAATTAAACACTCCCCCACACTATAACTTGATGTGAAGATGCAATGGACATTTGAAACATGTGCTACATATATATATCTACGCAACCCGTCCTATCAAAACTCCATCGGGTGCAGCTTAGGACCGGCGGTGGTGGTGCACTGGAAACGATCCGAGACAGCGCACGTCTTGAGTCGTCGAGCGCAGCGCCGCAAGCGCATCCGACACGTGTCTGTCGTCTCGGTGGCCGTCCAGCTCCATGTAAAACCCAAACTCGCCCGCGGCGGCACTGCGCTGGAGAGATTCCAGGCACGTCATGTTGACGCCGTGGGTCTACAATCAATATCCGCCGGTTGTCACATGAAACTTACATGCGACACTGTACCTTGAACACTTGCAGGGCCGAGAGCAGCGACCCGACCTCGTGCTTGACATTGACGCACAGACACGTCTTGTCGTTGCCTGTGGGGGGTTGGACCGACCGACCGACGACGAGAAACCGGACCGAGAGGGCCGGCGGCGGCTTGGAGATGGCCGACAAGTCCACGGGGGTGTCGAGCACATGCAGGTCTGCGGCCTTGGCGGCGTCGGCGGTGGTGACGGCAACGGCGCCGCGGAGGCGCTGGGCGCATCGTGCAGCTTCGTCTACGCTCGCCACCTGCACGACCTTGGCGCCACTCCATATACGGTCCACGATCAGCCCAAAGCCGGCCTCCGCCGACGCGGGCATGTACACGGCGGTCACGTCCGCCGGCGGCACCGACGCGCTCGACGTCGCAAGGACAAACGGCCGCTGCAAGACAGTTTCCGCCGTCACGACGAGGCCGCTGGCGATGAGCAGGAGCTGCGCATCCTTGCTGATCCCGACCTGGGAGTCTTCAAATGCGACGAGGCCGAACGCGGTTTGATGCGCCACGACGCTGGCAAACACGTCGGTCAGCGTCCCGACGGGGTAAAAGTTGCGCTGGTTGGCGAAATGGGCGACGGCGGCCGAGTGGGCAAAGCTGCCGACGGGGCCGACGAACGACACGGACGGATGATGCAGACGCTGGAGCAAGTACGCGACTTGCACTTGTTTGGTCAGTGGCATGACAAAGTTCTGGGAAACAAGCACCATGGATGATGAGACTACGAATCATGTGGGACGAAGTGGGAAGGAATGTACGCGGTAGAGATCGGCGATGACTTGCGGATCGACTTTGCAGTGCTCGATGGAGTTGGAGTTGTCGTGGATGGTGGTGGTGGTGTCGTCAACAATGTCCTGACCGTACGTTGATGCCTTGAAGCGCACCCGCATGACGACTTTCTACTCGCCACGATACATGAGATCTTAGCACATGTCATGCCTACACGTACGTCTTCCACGGCCAAGTTGGTCAGCGCGTCCATGATGCCCTCGGCGTCGTTGGCCAGGATGAGCGCCGTGTATCGCTTCGTCTCGGCCTTCATGGTTAATGTCAATGAGGACGAAAGAAGCAGAAGAAACGTTACTTGGAATTTGGCTTCGGCGATGAATTTGCCGAAATGGATGCGCTTGCTCAACGCTTGCAACACGGCGATGTCCGCGTTTGCCGACGATCCGAACTAGGGTGACGGATGACGTTGAAAGCACAGTCAGGAATGGGATGGACAACATGTAGCTTCGTACGGTAGTGTGGTCGTCGCTATCGTGCGTGATATGAGGCAAGAGCTTTTCGAGGTAGACACTCATGATTTGGTCGTTGATGTTGATCGTGTTGGGGATGAGGACAGACTGGTAGTCGAGGGGTGGCAAGATCGGGTCGGGCAAGAACGACGGGAAGAAAGCATGCTCGTCCGGCGACGTGTAGCGTCGGTTCAGAGCGTGCAACCTCTCTGTTTCGCTGAGCATGAACTCGAGGAAACTGCCTTCGAAACCATTGTACTTGCCCTTGAAGCTCAGCAGCGACGCCGTCGCGTCGGCCCGCTTGCGGTAAATCGGTGCATTGCGGAGGAACTGCGCGCGTTCGATGAGAGAAAAGATGATGGTTTCTTCTTGGCGGATCAGGACGTTGCGGTAGTCATCCAGCAGGACTTTCTTGGGTGTCGCGGTCATGTTGCGTGATTTCGAGAAACGATCTTTGGCGAGTATTACACAAAAATCCTTTTTTAATTAGGACCACCAAGCACCTATTTTGACCTAAATTTAATGCCGCAATCACCTTGATTAACGTTCAAAATAGGCTTGAAGTCCTATATTCAAATAAAGTCCAACTCACGTCCCTCTGTGGATATTTCTCATGGCAGTTATTGTGGATGCACACAACGCGCAATCGCTGGACCACCGCCGCCAGTGCGCCGTGGATGCGCTGCCTGTTCTTTGGTACGTTTACTTGTTCGTGAAACCCTGAATATTGCTGCGATCTACTTGTACTCTACAATATACAGTCATTATGAGTATCGTGAGTTTTCGATTCCAACAGGGGGGGCTTCGCATATAACGTTAACTACCCGTAGGGCTTCCTTGAAGTGTCGTTGACGCACGGACCCGAGATGAGTGTTTGGCATGGGTAAATGAGCGTATGGCAATTATCTTGTTCCCCTCAAGTGCTTACATATAGTAACGTACATATCGATAAGCGATTGGCGGCCTTTGCCATTCAGCGCGAGTTTGGGGGTATCCTGACTATCAAGTGCATGTCCTGGAGCAAAATCTGAAAGTTCAAATGACCAGCGATGGATTATTATTGATACCCCTTGTCTGTAGGCACAAGCGCGCCAAATTTCGTGATGGCGGGAACGCCGATTCAATTCTAGGTTGGTGTGAATGTTGTGCAATATATCCGAATTTGACTGTTTCAAATGTGGGAGAAAGTCCTAAATAGGATCAAATTCATCGGATGCCGTGAATTACATCGAGTAGTCATGATCGTCCCCACCAATCAAACTCGCCGTTTCGACTGATTGGTCACACGACCGAATGATGGTGCAAATTGCATACCAGACAAGTAACGTTTGGACGCAAGGCGACCTGCGCAACCTGAACTGGCTACGCAACCTGAACTGGCTACGCCCTACACAAGGCATCCATCCACTACTCTCAACATGCCCTCCAAACCCTCTGCAAAGAGAGCTGCGGCGAAATCTCGTGGCCATTCTGCCAGCGGTGCTTCAGCAGGATCGTCCGAGATCTTAAAGATCATGTGCTCAAAAGACGCCTTGTCCAAGGCGTTGATGGCATCTCAAAGCCTCCAGTTGAAAGACCCCAAGATCGTGCAGTTCATTAACAAACCGTCTCAGCTTCCTTCGTGCCAGGCACGGCTTCTCGCGGCGGTCGTCGTCGGACTCGACACGGTACTCACTCTCCGTTGCCGCTCACTTACTTGACCTGACGACTCTACCCGTAGGAAACCAAGCCAGAATTCAGAAAGACATCGACGCCCAACGCCACGTCCTTGCTCCAGGTGGCCGTCCGCGACGTCCACGGCAGGGAGGACGTGTTTCTCTTCGACCTGCTCGCGCTGTCCCCTTCCCATTACGATCACATGCTGGCCGACCTGTTTCAGAATCCAGCAATCCTCAAGCTCGGCCAAGGTCTCCTCAACGATCTGAAGGCACGTTGCACACTGCCCTTTGCCACTGTCAAGTAACGCTGTCTTTGGCCCTTAGGAGCTCACTGGAGCATACCCGTCGGCATCTTGCTTTACCAAAATGCAAGGAGTGGTAGAAGTGAACGCGCTTTTCCGGGAGCTGGAAGGCCCCACGCAGCCCATGATGAGTCTGCAGAAGCTTGTGTACTACTCGCTCAAGCGCAAACTGGTCAAAACGCACCAAAAATCCAACTGGAATCGTCGGCCGCTGGCCCCAGGCCAAGTCACATATGCGGCGTTGGATGCGCTTGTCCTGATGTGGATCTTCGATGATATGTGCGCGCGCATCTGCCAGCTCCGTCCGGCCTTCACGGCGGCGGGCATCGCCACGGACCTGGACGTGCTTGTTCCCGAACGCTACGTCTGCCCTACTTGTAGATCCGTCTTCAAGTCGGACCACGCGTTCTACAACCACAGTAGCAAATGCCGCGATCTGGGCCAAAAAGAAGACCGACCATGCAAATGCCACACGTGTCCGCGAAGGTTTGTGTCGGAAAGTGCCTTGGCGCAACATGCCGCGCATTGCGCGACCAAAGCGAATGTGTCGGCGGTCGTGGTCGAAGATGTGGCTCCGTGTTACTGTGGACGGACCTCCGGGGGAGCGCAAGTGCATCGTATGTGCGAAGCGTACAGGATGTTCGCGTTGGCAGACCACGACAACGTCCATGTGTGGTCATGCGTGGACTGCGAGAAAGCGTTCGATGCCCCGGAGTTGCTCCTCTACCATCATGGCCTGTGTCGCCGCGAGATGGAAAGCAACCATGCCAAACACGTGCGCTTTGACAAATCAGACAGCGACGATGGGCCCTCGATCAAGCGGCCAAAGTATCGTCGAACGGCCAGCGATGACTTCACAGATTCAGCCGAAGAAGAAGAACTGTGGAGTCAAGTCGGAAAGTGTGGCTATGATATCGATAACGAAGGGACATAATTCAATAGACACGTATTAATACAAGTTGTTCTATTAATAACTGGAAGTCTGTCCATTCCATATTTGTTTCGCTGAAAACCTCTATAATATAATATTCGTAGGATTCGTGAAAACTATTTTAGTTTGTCGAGTCGTTTGAGTTGTCTTGCTTTTTATATGCCATCTTGAAAATATAAAAACCTTAGTAGATTAAAAGTGTGGGGCGAATAATAATTTGTGGATACAACCGAGGGCCATTTCTTTCGACCTGCGTGCCGCCCCACCCGAACAAGATGATGCAAGCTCCGGTCATGGTCCTGAGTACGACATCTACACCGACGGGAACGATGAGGTCTCACGATCCATGTAGACACGAACACCCAGCGGGAAACTGGACGCACTGCCCAACTTGGCAACATCCAAGCCGCCAAGGTATGGGCTGTCGAGGCTTACCGTCCACTCGCTCCATTAACATCCGCAACTTAGGCCGTGTCGGAAATCGTGCGCACAACATTGGGTCCCCGAAGCATGTTGAAGATGCTCTTGGACCCCATGGGGGGTATCGTGATGACGAGCGATGGGAACGCCATCCTTCGTGAAGTCGATGTGTCCCATCCGGCCGCGAAGAGCATGATTGAGTTGAGTCGCGCCCAAGACGAAGAGGTCGGCGACGGCACCACGTCGGTCATCATCTTGGGTACGTAGTTTCTTCATGCATGTCCATTCACCAACTCATGAACGCATGCTTTAGCCGGGGAAATGCTCGTGGTCGCGGAACCTTTCCTGTCGCGCCAAGTCCACCCCACCGTGATCATCCGTGGGTACCACCAAGCTCTTCAAGTGTGCTTGGAAACCGCCCAGCGCATGGCCAAGCAAATCGACATCCACGACAAGCCTTCGATGCGCAACTTGATCATGTCGAGCGTCGGCACCAAGTACTCGCCGCGCGTGGGCAACATCGTGAGCGACTTGGCGCTGGAAGCGGTGCTCACGGTCATGCGCACCAACTCAGTGACGGGCAAGAAGGAAGTCGACGTGAAGCGATACGCCAAGGTGGAGAAGATCCCTGGCGGCGAATTGGAAGAGTCTCGCGTCTTGTCGGGAGTCATGTTCAACAAAGATGTACGCCGACACGTCCGTCCTCATGTATCTCTCACGCTCTTGATACTAGGTGACCCATTCCAAGATGCGCCGACGCATTGAAAACCCCCGCGTGCTGCTGTTGGACTGCCCGCTCGAGTACAAGAAGGGCGAGTCGCAAACGAATGTAGAGCTCACGAACGAACAAGACTGGAACACACTGCTGCGTCTAGAAGAAGAGTACATTGAGAACCTGTGCGCGCAGATCGTGGCCATGAAGCCCGACATTGTGATCACGGAGAAGGGCGTGTCGGACCTGGCGCAGCATTACTTTGTCAAGGCCAACATCACATGCTTCCGCCGGCTGCGCAAGACAGACAACAACCGCGTGGCGCGGGCCACGGGCGCCACGGTCGTGAGCCGCGCCGACGAGATCCAGGACTCGGACATTGGCACCAAGTGCGGCGTGTTTGAAGTGCGCAAGATCGCCGACGAGTACTTTGCGTTCTTTGAGCAGTGCCAGGACCCCGGCGCATGCACGATCCTCCTTCGCGGCGGGTCCAAGGACGTGCTCAACGAGATCGAGCGAAACCTCCAGGATGCGCTCCAGGTGGCGCGAAATGTGGTGTTTGAGCCGCTGCTGCTGCCTGGCGGGGGGGCGACCGAGATGCGACTGGCCCACGAGCTGCGCCAGCGGGCACATGAAGTGGTCGGCGTCGAGCAGTGGCCGTTCAAGGCGGTGGCGGACGCGCTCGAGGTGATTCCGCGCACGTTGCTGCAGAACTGCGGCGCCGATGTGGTGCGGGTGATGACGGCGTTGCGCGCCAAGGTGGCGGCGTCCAACGGCGGGTGGGCCGTCGACGGCGTCAAGGGCGTGGTCGTGTCGTCGGAAGAGCTGGCGGTGTGGGAGCCGTTCCAAGTGAAGACGCAGACGATCAAGACCGCCGTGGAAGCCGCGTGCATGTTGCTGCGCATTGACGACATTGTGTCGGGGTTGAAGAAGAAAAACTAAGACCCATATGACTAGTAGTAGTAGTACGACACACACAAACACCAATATACCGTAACTAGCCTTTCTAGACTTTGTAGGGTAGTAGTAGCAACCAACCACACAAGCTAGTAGTACTAGGTATATTGTGCACATTTGGACTTGACCGAATCTAAGCTTGTACAAACTATAGTATACAAAGATTAGTATATATCAATGCAGAAACTCGACAGAACGTGATTTGATTGGCTTAGGTCATTATTTCATCCATAATTAATTCATCCAATAGATTTGAGAATACTAGTCGCTTCGATGATGGCATGTCGAAGTCCTCCTGTAGGTAGTTTGGACGAGGGAATATGTAACACATGTGTATATACACGGACGACGATTGGAAATTGCATGCTTATTCGGCGGTGGTGTCGTCCTTCTTGAGGTCGCCGGGGGACTTTCGCAGCGCCTTGACGCGGCGCACTTGCATGCTGTAAATATCTTGTTTGTCCAAATGGATGCGCCCGATCTTGTCGCCCGTGAGTTCGTCGCGCTTGATGTTCTTGAGCTTCTTGGGGGCCAATCTACAACCACAATGCCGTCAGATCCCCATCGATAGATGCAAACACTCCACGCACTCTTTGGGCTTCTTGCTCGCGACCTTCATCATGTCGGCCGAGCCAAACTTGTGTCGGCGGAAACTCAAGTCAAACCGCGGTCCCATCTCGTCCAGCTCCACACGGGGATGCTGCGCACGCATAAGGTTAGTTGATGACTCAATCTTTTGTACGTATTGTCAACAACCACGTACTGTGTCGGTAGTGAGCTGGAACGCGATCGAGTAGTGGCGGAACAGCACGCGGTTGGCGGCGGCCGAGCACACGATCACATGATCCAGACCTTTCAAGTTGATGGCCGACACGATCGTGCCGCGGAACATGTCGACGAGAACGTTCTTGAGCTTCTGGTACGGCTCGGACGAGTCCCACTCAGCCCCCGAAAACAAAAAGCACGGCTTGGAGCCTGGCGCCATCTTGCTTTTGCATTTGAAGTCGTCGATGCCCTTAAAGTTGTCAAAACCCATTTCCAACATGTCCATGATGTGTCCGTCAAAGGTGCGGCCAAAGATGATGTTGTTCGGGCGCTTCTTGGTGCTGCTGCCGAGCACAAACAGACTCGTGTCGTTCTTGTGCGTCAAAAACTCGATGCTGTTGGGGTCGTCGAACGGATGGAGCTCGTTCTTCTTGGACAATACCTTTGCGTCAGGGGCCTTGATCATCTTCAGGTCGCGGAGGAGCTGGTTCACGGCTTCGTTGGTCTTGTTGCCGCGCAACACGAGCAGCTGCTTAGTGTTTTCAACCAACTTGGCTTCCTTGTTCTTGACGGCGCGCACCACCCGCGCCTTTTGGCGCTTGGCTTTGATGATCGGACGTTCCTTCTTGCCCTTGGCAGGAGCGGCCGCAGACTTCTTCTTGGACGGCGGGCCAGGAGGCTTTGCCATTCGCTTGGGGATCTTGGCCATCTTGTATTCAGGAGTAGGTTGCGATGACCTTGAACTCCTTTTGGTTGGTTGCGGCCTGGTGGTTATTATTGGCTGGCTCGCCACAACCCCAATTGGCCAATCCGAGGGCTTATCCGGACCTATTTTCGGGCTATTTTAGCCAATTCATGGCAAATAATCTCACTTTTATAGCCAATTAGAATCCTTTTGAACGTCATTTATTATCCAATCAGCGTTGATCTTTGGGTTTCCGGATTGCATCCGGATACGGTTCTCATAGGCGACGATGAAAGCGCGGACAGCGGGCATCTTCGCCATCGGGCTCATCATCCGCCTGGCATGTGTGCTGTGGGCAGAGTACCAAGATCGAACGATGCCTGTCAAGTACACGGATGTGGACTACGACGTATACACTGATGCGTCCCGAGAGATCTTGCAAGGCAATTCACCGTTCGACCGCACGACGTACCGCTACACCCCAATCTTGTATGCTCGACTGCATCTATCTTGGAAGAGTGCTCATGATGGCGACGTGATCGTAGGGCGTACATGCTGCTTCCAAATGTATACTTGCACGAAGCATGGGGGAAGCTTCTGTTTGTAGCGAGCGACATGATCGTCGGGTACCTCCTGTATGCAATTTTGATGATGCGGGCAATGCCGGAAGCATGTAAGTTGGCACTGCTTCGCTCGTGTCAACTTACTTGGTCACTGAATGACTAGCGGCCATCAACTACACGATGTGGTGGCTGTACCATCCGTTCTCGATCAACATCTCCACTCGGGGCAACGCCGACACCGTCGTGGTGCTGCTGTGTCTCTTGACCATCTACTTTTTGATGAAAAAGCATCTCGTCGTGGCTGCAGTCTTGTGCGTATATACTCAATGTCCTTGGCGTTGTTGACACCTCATGCTGCGTGTACAGTTATGGCTTGGCGGTGCACTTCAAGATTTACCCCATTGTGTATGCCCTGTCGTTCCTCGTTGTACGTCCCTGCGCCTCTCATTGTATCCAATCATCATGTGTGTCCATGCAGTTCCTCGACGAAGACTACGACAGCTCCATCAAGCCCATCCAAACGACGGCGGGAGTCGCCGCCAAAGCGTGGCACTGGCTGAATCGCACTCGACTGGCCTTTGGCCTTATCAGCGGCGGCGTGTTTGTTGTCTTAACTGCCGGGTTCTACCTCATGTAAGACATAGTGGATATAAATGATTCATAAAACATAGATGAATTGGTATAAATGATTCATTTATCCAAATAGATACGGCTACACGTTCGTGTTTGAAGCGTACTTGTACCATTTCACCCGCACGGACAACCGGCACAACTTTTCCATGTACTTTTACGACCTGTACCTTCGGTAAAGTACTCTACTTCCTCTGGGACGACTCGACTTGTGGATACAACACTCATTGATGTATGTAGCTACGGCACCAACAGTGGGTTTGTCGTGGGGCTGGTTGCGTTCCTCCCGCAGTTTCTGACGCTGTTTAACATTTCCCTGCGCTGTGGCAAGGACATCATGCACGCCCAATTCCTCTTGACCATGGCGTTTGTCGTGTTCAATAAAGTTTGCACCGCCCAGGTAAGTACTACTACTCGTACACGGTGGACAACTTATACGGATGGTCGCAGTACTTTTTGTGGTATTCCGCGTACTTGGCCCTCGTGCTTCCGACGACCGACCTCAAGGGATGGCAAGGCGCGGCCATCATCGGCGCTTGGTTTGGCGGCGAGGTCGGTGGATTGCAATCGATATGACGTGGCAACCTGATGGACGTGGTGTGTGTGTGTACTGTAGTTGCATTGGCTGTATTGGGCCTACGAGCTGGAAATGATGGGCCGCAACACGTTCTTCCCGGTAAATATATTATCCTTTTACCCAAAAATTTTGAACTTTTGTGCTGATTTGCTAAATCTACCGATCGATTCTTTGTACTGACGTCTCAACATGTGACACTAATTTCATTCACACACTAATTCAATGTTGAATTGGTCGAAGTGTAGTGGACAATTGGATTGGCTACTACATTCGTGTTCTGGGTTTTGATTGGTTGATCGATATTGTTTCGTGCCTTGACTATCCACCATCATTCACCATCACCATCATTCTGGGTTGTAACGACATGCAATATGCAGATTTGGGTGGCGGGCCTTGGGTTCTTTGCCGTGAACATTGGCATCATGGCGCTGTTTATTCAAAGCCACCACCACCACCCGTTGTTTGCCCGTGGCATGATCGTGCCGTTGACCAAAGGATAGCAACCCCATAACGCTCTTGAATATAGCTTACGACTACACCAGGCTATGTTCGACCACTCGCTGCGCAATGCGCTCGGCCTCGTACAGAGCGGCGTCGAGCTGCGCCGCCCGCGTACCAGACTCCTTGAGCCCTTGGAGAGAAATCACATGCCCGTGGTTGAACCCCACACTTTGAAAGACAGACTCAACCAGGGCGAAGGTCGTGTCTTGCTCGCGAATGTCGCCGCCTGCGGACGAGATCAACACGAACGTCCTGCCGGTCACGAACGGCTCTTGGGTAGCTTGGGAGTAGGTGAGGTCGGGCTGGACCACGCAGTCCATGTACTGCTTGAGCACGTACGGCACACTGCACACATACATGCGTTGGATGAGATTGTGAATGGGAGAAGGGAGTTATTGCATACCTGTGGTTCCACACGGGAGTCGAAACGACCACGCAGTCGGCTTCCAGCAGTTCTTGCGCCAAGTGTTGAATCGGCGAGATGGTTGCCAAATCGTCGGACGTTCCTTCGCCTTGCAGCACGCGGTAGGTGCTGCGCATGGTATCTTTGCAGAACTTGGGAAGATCGGGAGACCACAAGTCGCGTTCGATTACGCGGAACGGCGTCTGTTGTCGACTGCTGCTGTTGACGACGATGTTCTTCTTCTGGGTCCAAGCTGCACGAAGCGACTGCTGGTGCACACACGCCATGAGACCCATGGACACCACGGAGGTTGCAGAGTCTTCCGAAATGCTGGCATTGAGGTGAAGCAACGAAATGGACCGCCTTCCGATGCCTAGTGGCATGGCCTTCCTTCCTCCGTGACGCAGCAGCATCATGTGAGTGAGATGCAATTGCCGCGAGCGATTATTTAGCAATGTACGTACGGATGTTTCGTACATTATTGTACAATGTACCAGTCCAAAACCTCCATAAATTTAGTATTTCCAGAAACTATAAAGAATAGGAGGTCTGCAAAGTCCTTCACTATTTAGCGGTTGCCCCGAAATTAGTGTACGTTCCGTCCATTCTGCTGCCGTCGTCATTGCACAAGTGCACAAAGGATGTCTTCAGATTTGTTTGCCGATTGGCATGAGGACAGGAAGGAGCGGGAGGTCACCGCGTCCCGGGCGCCTGCACCTGCCAGAGGGGAGTACCAATCGCCTTATGTGAACGCTTCGTCCAACAGCAATCCGTATGCTACCGCGTCATCGGACGACGATGAGCCGATCCGACTCGCTGCATCCAAAGCTGGCGGCCCCCGCAACGTCGGCGGTCGAATTGGCAATCAGAAACCCATGTTTGAGCTGCGCCAGCACGGACTCAAGGTGAGTCGCCGGAAGAACTTCACTCCTCGATGCATCAGCGTGGGCAATGGTGTGATGGCGATGGGGTCGGCCGAAGGCACGGTGCTGCGGTGCACGGTCGAGTCAACGGACTCGACACCGCAGTCGATTGAAGAGATCATCGTCGAACCCAAAGTGGCCATCGTGTCAGTCTTCCTTGATCCAAGCGGGGGACACATGCTGTTCAGTTTGGAGAACGGAAGCAACTACTATCTTCACACGAGCACGAATCGGCCGCGCAAGATCACGAAAGCGCAAGGTCGCATCACGTGCGTCGCGTGGGACCGGCAGCATGGGTCTCCCGCCAACTCGGAATCGATCCTCATCGGGACGGACGCCGGCGCGATCTACGAAGCCGAGTTTGACGGCAAGGAGAAGAAGATGAACTGCGTGTACGCGATCACCAAACAGGGCGCGATCGCTGGCCTCGAGTTCGAGCACGTGGACGCGACGCAGATCTACGTGCTGATGACCACGTCCGGCGCCATCCAGCGTCCCACGCGCATGTACCAGTTCCTCGGCGGCCCAACGTTCCAAGCGCTGTTTGCTTCGTATCAATCGAGCGACTCGCTGCGCTTCCAGGAGATCCAGGGCGACGTCACGACCGCGCAGCTGTCGACGTTCTCCAAACACGAGCGCGAGCGCGCCAAGTGCTTTGGGGTGCTCACTGCCCAGGGGGTGTTCAACGGCGAGTTTGCCATCTCGGCCAAGAGCTCCATCGACAACATCTGGATCAACTGCGACATCCTAAGCTTCCCGCACCAGGGGGAGAAGAGCCCCGTGCTGCCTGTGGCCATGGCCATGACCGAATACCATGTGATCTTGCTCTACTCCAAGTTCGTCCAAGTGCTGTGCAAGCTGGACGGGTCCATCGTGCTGGAGGAGTCGTTCGACCCGCGTGTCGGCACAGTCACCGGGCTCGCGTACGATCCTACCTTCAACACATTCTGGATCCTCTCGGAGCGCCGCATCCTCGAAGTGCTCGTGCTGGACGAAGACCGCAACATGTGGGCGCTGTACCTGAATAAGGCCCTCCATGGCGTCCACGACAAGGGCCGCGCGGACGTCGCTCGTGACTTCAACCGCGCGATTGCCGTCTGCCGCGACGCCAGCACCCGCCAAAAGGTGTGGACCGCGCACGCGGACGCCATGTTTGACCGCGACGAGTTTGAAATCGCCGCCAAGCTGTACGTCAAGAGCAGCCGGTCGTTCGAAGAGGTGGCGCTGCGCTTCATGGAGGCGGGGGCGACGGCGGGGCTGCACCTGTTTCTGCTCAAGAAGCTCGCGCTGACGCCCGTGGAGGACAAGACCCAGGCGACGGTGCTGTGCACGTGGCTCGTGGAGCTGTACCTAGACAAGTTCAACGACTTGACGGCGCTGAGTGAGCAAGACGTGGACCGGACCATCGACTTGCACGCCAATCTTCTGTTCGAGTTCAAGCAATTTCTCCAAGATCAGAAGCGTCACTTGGACCCGACGACGACGTTCAACCTGATTGCATCGCACGGGCGCACGGACGAGCTCGTGTTCTTTGCGAGTCTGATTGAAGACTACGAAAAGATGGTGACGTATCACATCCACCGCGGCGAGTACGGCGCCGCGATCGAGCTGCTGCGGGGCGCGCCGACGCCCAAGGTGGAGGAGCTGTACTACAAGTACTCGCCCGAGCTGATCGTGGCCAAGCCCAAGGAAGTGTTTGACGCGTGGCGGGCCGCCGAGTCGCTCGATCCCACGCGGCTGATTCCGTCCATCGTGCGCCATGTGCACCATCACAAGGACGGCAACGCCCGCAGCGTGTTGGAGCTAGCGATCAATTTCCTCAAGTTTGTGATCGACCAGGGCCACCGTGACGAAACGATTCACAACTACATTGTGTTTTTGCTGGCAAAGCACCCGGACGAGCGGCAGCTGATCAAGTTTCTGCGGCGACCTTCGTCGTCAGCATCGGCGGCGCCGCTGTACGACCCGGCGTTTGCGTTGCGGCTGTGCACCCAGCACGAGAAGAACCGCGCGTGCATTTACATCTACTCGTCCATGGGGTTGTACCAGGAAGCCGTCGAAAAGGCCCTCCAGGTCGACGTCAAGATTGCAAAGGAGATGGCCAGCATGCCCGACGACGCCGACGTCAAGAAGACACTGTGGACGCTCATCGCAAAACACACGATCGACGCGGGCGGTGATATCAAGGAGGCCATGGGTATCCTCAAGGAGAGCGAGCTGCTGCTGATTGAAGACATGTTGCCGTTCTTTCCGGACTTTGTCGTGATCAACGACTTCAAAAAGGAGATTTGCCAGAGTCTACAAGCGTACAACGATCGAATCGAGCAACTCAAGGGCGAGATGCGCGAGTACACGGACTCGGCCGAGCTTATCCGTGAAGACATGCACAAGCTGCGCAAGCGATCGGCGTTTGTGAGCGGCAACCAGCGCTGCGACCTGACGGGGGACAACATTCTCGGCAAGGAGTTCTACTTGTTTCCGTGCGGCCATGCATTCCATGCCGTGGCGCTGCGCCTCGAAATGCAGAAACATCTCAACTCGTTTCAGCGCCAAACCGTCAAGCAGCTGATCCAAAAACTCAACGAACTCTCGGCCGACGACGCCACCAACCAACCGAGCAGCGCGTACCGGCGCGCGTGGAATGCGCTTACAAATAACAACAACGACAAGACGGCCGAGGCGACGATGGCTGCGATGAAGGGCAACACGAACGAGCGCGACGTGGTGCAGCTCAAGCTCGACGAGATCGTCGCGGCCGAGTGCATCTTTTGCGGCGAAGTCATGATCAAGTCGATTCATACGCCGTTCATCACGGACGAAGACGAGGCGCGGGAAGGGGCCGAGTGGCGGATTTAGCAGACAAACAAATAGGCAGTGTGCTTGTACCCCACATGTCGTCGCTAAGAGAATATCCTACGAAACATAATAAATTCACACGTTTGAGACGACCGGATGTGTCTATATTTGGACTCGCCCTGGTTTGATTGTGTTGGGCGATGCCGTCCAAGCCAGGCACGGGTATGATGATGTAGGCTAGTTTGCTCAACCTACTACTCGCCACGATGGTAGTGGGGGGGCTTTGGGGGGTAGTGGGGACCTGACTGGTTTGAATGATCTGGAATAGGGGGGGAATCGTCGTTTGCACAGTACAGTCACTGAATGACGAGTTGCCGATAAGTGTGGGTTGACATGTGTGTGCTAGTGGCGTGCACCAGCGGCTTCAGCGCTTAGGGTCGACCAAGGTTGTGGACGTGTCCAAGCCCCCCGACTTGGCGAGTCGGTCGAAAGAGAATCGCAGCACGTCCGTGTCACGCAGTGGCTCGCTGCATTCTGTACTCAAGTCCACCAAACACTCGGTCAGGTATCAATCAATCCCCTCCCACACAATCGCTAGGGTGTATCGACACCCGTTGGCTTGGTAGTAATGTCGGCCGCAAGCCCTTAAAAGGCCACACCGACGTCAAGCTGCTCATGGGTACATCTCATTTGTTGCCGTCATTTGAAAGGTCATCTACTGTACTCTTAGCGGACGTGTTTGCTGAAATGGACCGACAGCGACTGCGAGGGGCGGTCAAGTTTCCATTGAAATTCGCTGACTTTTTCGACCATGGTATCGTCTCAAGGGTGAAATGTCATGAGTTGATGGGTTGTATGATGAGGTAGAAATGATGTTTGACTTTGTCAAAGCGTGCATGCAACTGGCCGACTCGTTCGTGCTCGTGCAGCAACTTGAACGAACCGCACCCCCTCGCAGCCCCCCTCTCCCCCAGCAGCCCCCACATCATCATGCCAAGCCCCCCGCGGTCGTCCTCGCAGCGACTTCGTCCTTGCCCGACGCTGAGCGTACCCTGGCGTACCACAAAGCAGTGTCGAGTCACAGCGATAGTGTCGCCAACTTGGCCAAGAGTTATTCGCGCCTCGTGCTGCATTGCAGCAACTTTGAACGACACGAAGAAGACAGGACGTTCTTTGAAGCAGTCTACTATTTTGTGTGCGCGATCGTCAAGACCAACCACCCACAAGATTCGTGGCCGCTGCTCGAAGAAGAGCTCGGTAACCCACTCAGAACATCCGATGGCCTCATGTTAAGCACTAGGCTATGCCTTTCGTGGCGAAGTGTTCAACGCCAACGGCAAGAGGTTTGTGTTGAAAGTAGTACTCGTGTCCTTTTGATAACCAGCAAGTATTATACATGTAGCAACTTGCGTCCACCTGTGGTACCAGAACCTGCCAAAGCCCCAGCCATGCGATTTGGACAACCCACGATAGCCACCGATTCTGCAGAGCCTGCCGGGGGGGATCTCAAGTTTTTGGGGGGGGCGCCGACAGTCTACGGCAGCTACGGACAAAATGTGGCTCTTACATCCATCGTCAGTCGAGTAGACGCTACGAAGTCCCGCGCCGAGCACAACATCAAAGCGTCACAAGCCATGCGCGGCCGCATTCACGTCCAACGCAACGACAACCACAAAGCTCGACTTCAACTAGGTACTTTATCACAGGACACTCCTTATCCACGAGCTGGATTGTGCAGAACGCGAGTACATTCAACGCAGCGACCGCCGCGCCGCCGCAAGGCTAGACCACCTTCTCGTCGACAGCCCCACAAAGTACCCGTCGCCCCCGTTCGCCCCCCAACCGCAGCAGCCGTTGCTCCAGCATCAGCCCCCAGCGTCGTCCCCACCCCCCAATAGCATACCAAGTCCGCGCGCGTCCATGCGACACACGTTGGACGCTCGGTCGCCCATCATAGCCCACATCTTTCCATCGGCGCAGGACCAAGTGCTTCTCGCTCAAAAGTGAGTTTCCTTCAACTAACGTTATATCCAACCCGTTTCATATTTGCTAGGCTACTGGAAGACCAGCAACACGAACGAGCATCGGATAATACTACGAGCCCACGACGCCTTGCTCTTCCCAAACCAACCAATCCTCCTTCGACCATGCCCTGGTTCAAAGATATCCATGGTTTAACTGAAAATTAAAGAATAAATCGACCATATCCTACGACATTCGTCTTCTCGAGGTGAATTTTCACACCCACTTGCGTCCTGAGGGTGGACTCGTCGACCCCGCGGGCGGAGCCGCGGCCGCCGTCACCGCCGAGCGCGCCGCGATGGGCACTTTGGGCCGCACCGACTTCTCACGCAACGCCGAGCCTTCTGCGACCCCCAGCGAATGCCTCGCCACGCGAGACGTCGATGTCGCTGCCGGCGAAGTCGCCCGCACCGACGTCCGCGTGAGGGGTTTCGGAGACGCAGCAGCCGGCCGGGGGACGTCGCTTGGTTGCGCCTTCACGGGCAAACTCATGCGGCGGTCCAGGGACGTCTGGCGCACGGGTTTCGGCAGCGGCACGGTGGGTGGCTGTCCGGATCGGCCCAACGACAGGCGACCACCCGCGGACGACGAGGGCATCGTGACCGTCCGTTTGGAGAGCAGCACCTTCTTCCTGACGTCACCGCCACCGGTCGGGGGAGTCACGTGGTTTGTTTCAGGGGACTCGTCGTTGAGTTTCTTCCACTCGTCGTCGAGCGAGTCGTTATCGTCCGACGCGGACCGGGCAGACCCCCCCTGGTTCTGGTTGCCATCCTCCTTGAGCGCGTCCAGTTCGCGCTGCAGCTTGGCCACCACCGCGTCGTGGTCTGCACGCACCTTGGCCAGTTCGTCCTTGAGGGCGAGCAGCTCGCCGGACTCGACGCTGCGTTGCTTGACGGCGCCTAGCTCCACTTGACTCACGCGCGCGCCAAACTGCAGCGAGCACACGCTCTCCCCTTCGTCCGCCAAGTCCGGACTCACCTGCAGCACCAGCAGCGCCTTTGCCCCCCCAGATAGCATGTCTCGCAGCGTGAACGTGAGCTTCGAGTTGCGGTACGGCACGTGCTTGGCCTTGTGCTGGAGCGCATGGACGACATCCCCCAGCGTACTCAGCGACTTGTTGATGTGCTGCGCTTCCTTGAGGCGGTCACCTGTCACTTGGGTGCGCGAGATGCGCTCCGACCCGGCCAAGTCGACGAGGCACAGCGTGCTGCTCTTGCGCTCGAGGGTCTGCTTGTTGGCCGATGTCACGTACACAAACACAATCGCGTGGGACCGAGAGCTTTCAAAGTTCATCTTCGTGGCGGCCACAGATCGGTTAGCGTAGCCTTCGGCCAGCACCGCCTGCACGTCGGCCCATGACGCCACCGTGCGCGTGTCCATGGCGCTATCTTTGGGAGTTAAAATGTCCTTGGACAGCAAGTCGCGCGGCTGGTCGTTGTAGATCTCCTGCATGCTCAGCGAGATCGTGTCCTGGAACAGCGCCGCCCTCGCGCCCGACATGGCAAACAGCTGATGCAGCGCGCGGGGGATGATACCTGGCGCCGCGTCTTCGCCCACCATTGAAAACGTCTTGCCGGCGCCAGTCTGGCCGTACGCCATCACACATGCGTTGTACCCGTCCATGACGGACCCGATCAACGGATCAATGTGCTCGTACACGTCCTCCTGCGTGCTGTCAGGGCCATACACTTGGTCGAACGCAAACTCCTGTCGCTTGGACGCCACCAGCAGCGTCTGACTTTTGGGGTACATGAACGCGCCCCCGTCGGCAGCCGCGTCCTTGAGTGGCCGGACCCGGCAGAACACGCGGATCTTGCCCGACACTTCGTGATACTTTTCAGTCATGCGCTTGCGTTCGAGGATTTCGCGGTCCAGTTGGCTGAACAGCGCCAGTTCGCGGACCTTGACGATGGCCTGCATCTCCATGACGCTGCTCTGGATGAGAGCTTCCGTCTGCGCCGCTTCCATTGTCACGTGGGCCTTGAGCGCTTGCAAGTCGCCCGCCAAGGACGCCGTCGACTGGCGGAGCGTCGCCGACTGATGGCGCGCCGATGCCACTTGGTCGTTGAGACGGGCGATCGTGTTCTTCTGGGTCACCACGTCCGCTTGGGACGCCGCCAAGGCATCTTCCGTGGCCTGGAGCGACGACGACAACGCGGCGAGGCGCGCGTCCTTGTCTTCGCCGGCATGGGAAGCCGATGCCACGTCCTGCTGCAGCGCCGCGAGGCGGTCGTGGAGCGTCGAGATGGTGGCCACATGCGCGTCGATTTCGTCGTCTTTGGACTGGCATGTAACCACCAGCGCGTTCGACTTGGCCTTCATGTCGGTCAAGTCGTGCTGGAGAGACTCGACGAGCGCCGTTAGGTCGGTCGCCCGCGTCTCCGTGTCATGCTGCAGCTGCGCCGCTTGAAGAAGCGATTCCTTGAGCGTCAAGTTTTCGAGGTCCAGTCTGCATCGGTAACGAAAAATAAGGGACGTTGACGGGAAATGGATGAAGTGGCATACCGTTCGACGGTCATTTTCTCCGTGGCGAGTTGGGCGTCGACTTCGGCGAGTTTCGCTTCGTATTCCTTGGCCTACGATGGACGATAGATAGGATGGGTTGTCGGTGCGGTCGATAAAGGTAATAGGTGGAGATGGAGTGTAAGCGTGCGCACCATGTCGGCAAACAGGGACGAGTTGCTCGTGTTGCGAATGAGTTTGTTCACTTTGACTTGGGAGGGAATGGGAATCGACTGAGCAGCTTTCGAAGGGGTGGCAGCCGTCGCCGCAGCGGACGATGCCGCAGTCGACGTGGGGGGCACCGCCTTGGAGGACGCATCCATTTCTTGGAGAAGGAGCGGCAATGTGTTGACCAAGCGATGCATGTCGATGTCTTCGTACTTAGGCAGAAACAGTTTGAGTGCCGTGAGTTCCTTCTTGGACACAATCAGGCGTGATCCTCCCTTGCACGTGACGACAATCACGTCGTGACTCGATCCGGCGTTCACAAGCTCGTTGGGGGCGACGGGGCCTTGCTGCTGGTACTTCTCATAGAGGAGAGGATGCATGGGAGTAGTCTGTTGTTGCGGAGTCGTCATGATGTCGTGATGAGACCTTCCTCCGTCAAATACCGGCGGCGGTGGTGGCGACACTGCGGGCACCTGCAGATAATTCTTGCTAGTCATAGTCGACTGGAAGCTACCTTTTCCTATATTTTCGTCGATGAATATTATTATCAAGGCCATTGTATCGTAGCTCTATTAAAACATCTTGGGATTTACATTTTGCCCCAGGCGTTTTGGCTTCGCACACTAGAGATTCCACCAATCATAGGCTATTAACTAGGTAAAAACAGATTTGGCCCACGTTCCCTCCACCAACATCCTACAACAGGCTGTGCAATAATCGGCCGAAAGGTCGCACGCAGGATTGGTTCACACTCAAGCGACTTCAGCAAGTCGAATCCCGGCATCGCAGTAGACAATACTAGTCTGTATGTACTATGTCATGTGATGTAAAACATGCTGTCGCGGAGGATCTTGACTTCGATGGCGAGTGCTTTGACGTCGCGCTTGTTCTCGTCCATCAGATGCACGTACCCATCTTGATCTTGTCCGATGAGCAGCATGCTCCTCGCGGAATCCTCAGTCGTGGTCGCTTTGGCGTCTTTCAATGGAGCTTTCGTTGGGCTGCCATTGGTGCTGGTGCTTCCTTTGGAAACCGCCGACTTGGTTTGCAAGACAGTGGATGCCCACACCCGCACGCACTTAGGGTCTTCCGGTAGTCCGAAGCACAACAGGTGGCTCGAGAGGAACCACCGCAGCGTACATAGCTTTCGCGCAGGAAGCATGATCATTTGCCCACCGACGCCGTCCGGCTTGTCCTGCACGTCGTCAATGCCGCACAGTATTGACGTCGAGTTGAACATGTACTGGCGACCCAGCGAGTTCTGCGCGATGCGCGACCACCACTTGTAGTTGACGATGCGGTCGAGAGTGAGAATGGCCACCAAGTTGATGAAGATCACGAGCGCCATGGGCTGGAAGCACCGCACGTACCAAGATGCGAACAAGTCGAGGTCGGTCCCGTCCAGCGACTGAACGTGCGACGACAGGTCGTGGCGGACGCTGTTGCTGTAGTTGATGAACTGGTGACGGGCCATGAGCGCGATCGAGCTCAAGTAGATGGGCACGACGGAGCTAAAGTTAAAAAACCCGACGAGCCAGTTGTGGCCGTTGTACTGGACGATGCTCACGTTGTGGCAAAGAAGTTTGAGCATCTTGACAAAGCAGCAGTTGATCCATAGCCACCGAAAACTCATTGAGTAGATCTGGACAGACACCCAAAAGTCGGGGTTCCACTGGTTCCACTCGTTCATTTCCCGCGTGAACTTCATCGCAATGTTCTCGTCCAAGAGCACCGTGACGACATACAGCAACACGAAGAGGTCGCTGTTGTAGCAAATGTACTGCATCGTCAACGCGTGGCTCGGGTGCCGGTATAGGTCGGGGGCGAACTTTTGATATAGCCGCTTGAACCACGGCCACAAGATCTGCTTGTCCGTGTCCACCCAGATCACCGTCTTGGCGCTGGCCGAATATCCCCCCAGCACCATGAGCAACGCGAACACCTTGATGTAAAACGCCGCCACGGTCGTGCTGCTGCGGTCGACGATGATCGCGAGGATGTGCACCTCCCCCAGCATCACCCGCGACGACACCACGTCCACCATGTTGGTCGTGGCGTTCCACACATACGTCATGTTGCAGTTGTCCACGCCCAACTCCGCCATGGGAGTTCCCCCCGTGTTGAAAGTCTTGGCAAAGATGCGATACACGAGGGTGTTGTGCTGCATCGTAGTCCCAGGATTCAGGGATGACACGGGGACCTCCAGTGTCATGCGGAGGTCGGCTGTGAACACACCGGCTTCGTATCCCATCTCCAGAAGCTCTTCTCTCAACGCGTCCGGACCAGGGACCGGATCGGTCGCCGTCGAGCCAAACACGTGACTCAGGGCGTCGCCGCGGATGTATGTGACAAAGTCCATGGCGACGGCAAGACGGACCACGGTCTCCGTGGAATTGGTCGGAAATGTGATGGGGTACGAACGCTCGAGGTCGCGACAGAGGTCGGGGGTGGCAGGGCCGACTTCGTGCATCCCGGCGGCGAGGAAGTAGACGGTTTCGTCGGCGATGATGAGCTGATCGATGTGCGTCGCGAGAAGTTGTCGGGGGATGGGGGAGATGGTGCCCCAGTTATCCCTCGTGGAAAACACATAGTGATCGTGGATGTCACTGAACGAGGCCATGTCCATGACTGGAGTCCGGCAGTGCATGGCGTTCCCAATGTAGTCGTTCAGTGCCCAGTTGTTGGCGAACACGTCGTACGCGACGAGAAACACGCCGACGGCGCTGATGGCCAAGTAGATGCTCTTCTTGATTTGGGCCATCCATTTGGGCTTGGGGGTGACGATAGAGTAGACGGGACCCGAGATCACAGGCGGCGGGAGGGGCAACGGGGCAACGGCACTACTCATAGCACGGAGCTAGTGTACAATGTCGCGCGAAGGTCGCGGCACCAACGACGAGATTGGTTTCACGAATGCAAATATAGCGCATGCAAATAGGCTACGATGTCTCAAGTTATTTATAAACAAACGCAAGTCCCAGCCGTTATACAGCCCCGACTGGATAACCAGTGCCAAGTTGCCGTAAAGTGTATGACGTCCTACTAACCTGTAAAGCCGTGGAAGTCGGTACATCAACCTGCTTGCAGATGTATACCCCTCCTTGCAACGTGGAACATGACTACTACTAGTACGCAGTATAACTAATACCATGTATTAAACAGACTGTCGTTGTCCAGTGCCATGAAAAGTACTAGTAATACGTTTGTGTCACCATTGTTAACTGAAGCTTAATGTTGTTCATTGCGAGTGTGAAGGTGCGTGCCTTGTCCAAGACATACACCAGCACATTGCGCAACGGGAGGATGAAATCGCCAAATTGCCAAACCGAACGAACGAGTTCTTAGTTCTTGGCCGCCTTGACTTCAGAAGCCTTGCGGCTGCTGCGGCGCTTGGCGACTTCCGAGGCACGACGTTCCTTCTGCTCCTTAACACGCTACAGTGCCAAATGGTGATTAAGGAGCAGGAAAAGCCCCACGTCACCAACCCATGTTAGACGTGTCCAGTGATAGATACAAATACTAGAGCTGTACCTGGGTGTACAGGCGAGAGTACTCGGCGGCATCGCGCTTTACTTTTTCGCGCTGGGTCACAATCTTGGCCGCGATTTGGGCCTTGTGGTGCAAGGTGCGAGGAGTGACCAGGCGCTGGATCTTGGGCGCCTTGTCGTTCTTCTTGCCCGTCTTCGAGTCGAACTTGCGACGGATGACGTACTTGCGCACATCGTCTTCCTTGGTCAAGTTGAACAACTTGCGGATGTTGGACGCGCGCTTAGGTCCCAAGCGACGGGGGATGTGGCCGTCGGTCAAGCCAGCGACTTCGTTGTCGCCAGTCTTGACGACCACCAAGTTGAGCACCGAGAGGTCGGGGCCGACGATGCACCCACGCACAGACTTGCGCTTGCGCTCACCCTTTCGGCGTGGGCGGTAGCAGGACTTGCCCTTGCTCAAGAGAAGGCGCGCGCGACCGTTGGTCAACACACCTTGCTTCATGGGGAACCCTTGCTTGTCGTTACCGCCCGAGATCTTGAAGACGAAGCCCTTGAATTCTTCGCCCAAGTGTTCGCCGTCGACTTCCTGGGTCATGCGCTTTTCGTAGAAGGCGCGCAGCTTGTGCTCGTCATCGATTTCGAGCACTTTTTGGGTCCCGGTGTGGGGGTTGGCAATGTTAAGCTTCATGTTGGTGAGATAACGGACAATGAGCAGCCCGACACGACCACGAAAGACCTGGCGTGAGGAACACCAACCATTTCGAGACGCTCGCCCAATCACCGCGCGATGTGGATGAACGAATCAGATTGCGTGTGCTACACTGTTTTAAACCAATCAAATTGGTTTCTCAACCACGAATCAACGACGGGTCGTTGTGTTTTGGACGAATCATATCGTACTATTCAGCGCACCAATCAAATCGTTGAGTGAGATGCTTTTAGCCAATCATTGAAGCGTCGTGAGAGCCAATCACACGTCGACTGCAGAAGTGCATCGAATAGTATACCAAGTGACATCATGGGCAACACGTCGTCCACCCCTGCTGTCGCGACGCCGTTGAAGCCGACCGCACAAGAAGGCTGTCCGGTAAAGCACAGCAATGTGGCACCTGAAGGATGCCCGGTGAAGCACAGTGGCAATACCACATCGGTGGTAGGTGAAGGCTGCCCCGTCGTGAAGAAGCAAAAGGTGTACAATGTGTACAGCCAGGAAATCGACCCCACCAACAACATGCCGTCCAACCCGAACCAAGAACCCAACGATGGGCAAAAGTATCCGTTGAACACGACCCGTGTGACGTCGACGATCCCGAAAGGCGGCACCGACGGCACATGGACGTACCCTAGCGAACAAATGTTCTTCAACGCGTTGCGACGCAAAGGAAAGGGCGAAGACGTGCACGAAGGCCATGTCCAAACCATCGTGAGCATCCACAACAACATGAACGAACGTGCTTGGAACCAAGTGGCCGCTTGGGAAGAGGCTTTACATCCCGGGTACTTACTGGACACCACAAACCCATGGCTTTACATTCTTCAGATTGTATTTTGCTACCCAATACACTAACACCAACAACATGTGCAGATCCGACTCGAAATTGCTTCGCTTCTGCGGCCGGCCCGATGACTTGACGCCGATCGCACGTCTCAAGACGTTGTTCGGGTTTGTGTGCTCATCATATCGTCGCTGCCGTAACCACCCTCTCATGAACGAACTAATGTAGGTACGATAAACCATTTGACCGACACGACTGGGTCGTCGTGCGCAACGACAACACGGAGCAGCGGTACGTGATCGACTACTACTTTGACGACGACAAAGCCGCAGAGGACGCCGTGCCGCGGCTGCACGACGTCACTAGCGTCAAGTCCATCACCATGTACGCGCGTCCTGCCGTCGACTCGCTCTCGGCCGTGGTGGACCGCATCAAGTTCCCCCTCCTCAACCTCTTGGGCACCGCCCCCGCCGTCTCCTTCCCGCCGCCACCGCCCAGTGATGAGGCCGACGCCAGTGCCAACAATGATGACCTCTTGACTGTCGAGCAAGTTAACGCCACGTTTGGCCAGATCCAAGCCAACTGCAGCAAGTGCTTCACCAACGTCCAGACGTGCGCCGACGAGGTCGCGTGCACCCAAGCCGCGACGGCGCTGCAGTTTTGCATGGCCAACATCCTGTGCAAGCCGGACGCTGTCCAGTTCACGGCAGCGCTTGCATCTGGCGACGAGGGCCGCATTGAAGAAGCGTACGCCGCCATGGGCAACTGCGTCGACCGCTTCGAAGTGCGCTCGCGGGCTGCCTTGCAACAACAAGCGCTCGAAGCCGCCCGAAAAGTGTCGGCGGCGTCGCAATCAGCATAGTACCCAACACTCGTCCATTCATAGAACTTTGCATTCAGTGTGTAAACTGTACAAGTGCCAAACATCTCAACCCCCCATCGTCCACACTGATTTGCTTCAAATTGGAGCTTCGTGGTTTCGTCTACTACGTACTACACTGTAGTAGTACTACAACTTTAGTAGTACTAGTAGTATTGCGGTGTTTATTCTAAACTGGAGCGACATGGAGAACGATTTGCAGGACACCATTATCAACATTTAATTAGTGTATGACTGAATTTAGTGTGATTATAACCACCACAGGACAACTTTCAAATGTCAATGCAAAGCATCGATCAATAGATTTGGCGAATCAGTACAAAGGACAATACTCTAACCAGTTGGTTACAACTCGTCCAAATCCAACACCTCTTCTTCTTCTTCGTCGTTGTCGTCGGCCGTAGGGTGGGCGTCACTGCCATCCTCGTCAACCCCTTGGGGGAAATGCTCTTTGCTCTCTTCTTCCATGCGTTCTCGGCGCAGTCGTTCGAGCTCGGCGACTTGTTGCGGCGTGCGTGATGGCGGCGCAGGTTGTACTTTTTTGGCGCGGCGGGTCACTGTCACTTGTTTGGTCAACGTTCGAAACGACTCGGACGGTACTGGGGCGGTGGCATACTCGTTCAAGAAGGCTTGTACTGGCAGCTGATCAAAGTACGACGTGTATGCCTTGGCGGTCCACTGAGATGAAGCGCCGCGGTTGGTTGCCTTTTTAAAGAGAACGAGGCGATGGTGGGAGCTATCCGTGATGGGCTTCTTGAACAACGAGTCCACCGACAGCTTCAAGATGGACGCATCCATCCACACAAACTTGACCAGGCGATGCTCGTGCATGAGGGCTTGGAGCCACTGCTTCTGGTACTCGTCAAACTTTTGCTTGCCAGCGCGATGGATCAACACGCAAGCTGTCGATGCCTTGAGACACTTGTCGTCGAGTTGCTTGGTGGATTGGACTTCATGCAGCGATTTCTGGACTTGGACCAGGGTTTGCGCGGCGAGGGCCTTGGGTTTATGGAGGTAATTCAGAAACAGCTACAGACGAAATACGCATGAACGAACGATACTGGGCGAGATGGTGGGGGACGAGATGAGTGGAGGGGGATTACTTGCTTGGGCTTGCCTCCATTCGCGATCGTAAAGATGGTGGGCACGATGTCGTCTCGGAGGAGAAACTTCTTGAACACTGACTTGCCGGATGGAAGCTTGTCGTGGCAGTCGACCACGCCCACGTGAATTTTTCCCTCCAAGCGCTTGGTTGCCTTCTCAAAGACTTCGGGGAGAATGGCATCTGGTCTCGAGCACAGCACGAGCCACGGCTCGCCCGATCGAAACACGCGGTGGACGTCTGCAGGCTCGCTCAATTGAATGAAGTGCACACTTCGGGTCGACGTCGCAGCCTGAAGGAAGAACCAACCGAAGAGCGCCACGATGATGACTAAGGATCCTGCAATGACTTGCCAGTGCTCCCGCCACATGCGATTCTTCAAAAACATCTTCATCTCCTTCGCATTGTTCGCCCCGCCATTGCCGCCCCCTTTCGTGCTTCCTTTGGCCATCGCACCAAAGACAACCGACCTGCTGTGCACAAGCCATTCGTCGATTTTTCAGCCAATGATTTGGCAAACACGATATGATTGGACAAAAATACCTTACTCACAGTCCAAATCCTAATTGACTTCACACAGTTCAGATGGCTTCGCCTCTAGATTTCACAGTCAATCCAAACTTACGGCCGGCATCTGCTGCATACTACGGTACATACACCTGCTAACGTTAATGTATCATTTGAATGTGTATGTGCAGGGAACGGGGGGGGGGCTGGTAGATACAGAAGGCGAGTGAATGTTCAAGTATTTTCGTCAGCAGTCCAGCGATGATGGCAAGGTTCTGTGACATCATTCACTCTCGTGTGCAGAGGTTTCACTGCACATACCGGTAAGTTGCCCATCCTATGAACAGTTTATGCATATACATTTACTTCAGTCGGACGTCTTCGCGGTAGTACGACGTGGTCACAATGCGCGCTGTCTGTCCATCTCAATCCACAGGAAGCAAAAACATCCCGAAGAATCTTCCCTCGTCAACATTGCGTTTGATTCGCTCGTTTTCTACCAATGAAAACACATGTCAGCGTTTTTGTGTCATGAATTCACGTGATTAAAAATAATCACTTGCGATTTGTATACTAATACGTAGTAATTGATAATATTGACTTTCCAGGATTGTGAACTGTGCAGTCAAAGTGCTCCGAGTCGTTCATTTCGCAATTTGAAATCTTCTGCGCACATGTCAACGTCCGTGCCGCCCCACATTCTCGCCGACGACTCCAACTCGGGATGTCACTACATGGGGGAATCCTTGATCGTGTTTGTCATTGGGGCTTCTGGTGACTTGGCCAAGAAGAAGGTACGCGCTCGTCCATGCCGTCGAATTCTCATGCATGTCCTGTAGACGTACCCGTCTCTCTTTGAGCTCTACACGCACGGATACTTGCCCGAACATACCACGATTTGTGGGTACGCTCGATCGCACAAGACAGACGAGGAGTTCCGAGCTTTCATCGGTGGGTACCTCAAGACGACCGACATGGAGAAGAAGGAAGCCTTCTTGCAAAAGTGTTTGTACCGCCATGGCGACTACGATTCCGTCGAGGCGGTGGGAAAAGTGAGTGCAGAGATGTACTTGAAGGAGTCGGCGACGGGGTTGAAGACGAAGAATCGCTTGTTCTACTTTGCCATCCCGCCGAATGTGTTTGTGCCCATCGGCACGTCGATCAAGGCCGCGGCGTTGTCCGCGGAAGGGTGGAACCGTCTGATTGTGGAAAAACCGTTTGGTCACGACCTCACGTCCTTCAATGAGCTATCAGCCGCCATGGGCGCGTTGTATTCGGAGGACGAGATCTACCGCATCGACCACTATCTCGGCAAGGAAATGGTGCAGAACCTCATGCTGCTGCGCTTTGCCAACATCACGTTTGAGCCGTTGTGGAACCGCAACTACATTTCCAGCGTCATGATCACGTTCAAGGAAGACATTGGCACGCAAGGGCGTGGCGGGTACTTCGACTCGTACGGCATCATCCGCGACGTCATGCAGAACCATCTCCTGCAAGTGCTGTCGTTGGTGGCGATGGAGCCGCCTGTCCGGGCGTCCGGCGCCGACTATGCCAACTTCATCCGCGACGAAAAGGTCAAAGTTCTCGAATGCATCGAGCCCATCAAGCTGCAAGACACCGTGATGGGCCAGTACGTGGTGGACCCGGAGAACCCCAAGTCCGAAGTCGGGTACCTGGACGACCCGACGGTGCCCAAGGGGTCCGTCACGCCCACGTTTGCGTCGTTTGTGATGAACATCAAGAACCCTCGGTGGGACGGCGTGCCGTTCATCATGAAGGCCGGCAAGGCATTGAACGAGCGCAAGGCCGAGGTTCGCATCACGTTCAAGGCGGCGCCCGGGGCCGAGCACATGTTTCCTGGCACCAACATCCCCCAGAACGAGCTCGTGCTGCGCTTGCAACCGAATGAAACAGTGTACATGAAGACCAACGTCAAGAGCCCGGGATTGAGCACCAAGGCTGTGGCGAGCGAGCTCGAACTGAGCTATTCGACGCGGTATGCCGACACGCACCTCCCGGACGCGTACACCCGGCTGGTTCTGGACGTGTTGCGAGGCAAGCAGGCCACATTCGTCCGGGACGACGAGCTCCGCGCGGCGTGGAAGATCTTCACGCCGCTGCTGGATGAAATCGACGACAAGAAGATCCCGCCCATCCCGTACAAGTTTGGGTCCCGCGGCCCCGCGGAAAGCGACGAGTTGGTGCGGAAGCAGGGATATGTGTACCATAGCGGCGCGTACCAGTACTCGCGCCGTGGTTCGTTGTGAGAGAGAATGAATATACAAATGCATTTAACCATTTAGAATGCGTGTGGTGTATGAGGAAATGAGGTTTCTTCGAGGGCATGTTGCAAGGCGAGGTCGGTCTTGTAAAGACGCACGGCCAACGCCGACACGGCGCGACCGAGGGATTCGTCGGTGGAGATAGCGTCAAAGTGCAGACCAATAGACCTGAGGTAGTCTTGTACATCACCAGGGAGTTCGAGCCGGAGATGGCAAGTCGGGAGTGGCTCCTTCGAAGGTAGCCCACGGGGGAGTGACTGGGGCATACCGTCGTCACCGTGCTCTACAGCTCGGCGTTTCAATGCCAAGTAACGAGCTCGCTGGGCGTCCAAGCGCTCAGCAAGGGTCCCATGCCGCCGCCGCGGCGACGGCGGTTCATGAACTTTGCGCATACCGGTACTTGGAAATTGCAACACTAGGACACCTAGGACATTCTAACGACGACGTTTCACAAGACGGCGACGAGTGACATCATGTCATGGTTATTGATCTTGTAATTTGTAATGCATTGGGTGCACGTGAGCGATGCGTTGTCGTCGTCCATATTGAAACGTGAAAATTTAAGCTTGAAAAATGAATGAACATTTTGTGAAACATCAGGATGCCTAGTGGGCCAATCAGAGCCAAGGGGTAGTGAACAGTGATCAATGACCAAGATGGAGGCGTCGCATGCGAGGTGCGCGTGTCCTTGCGTGGCCTTGCTGGAGGAAGAAGTCGAATCGCTGCAGAGCCAGCTACTCCGGTACCGCCGAAAGTACGGGAACCTGGACGTCCTTGAACAGCGCCAGTCGCTCAAGGAAACAACCACAGCGACGGCCCCAGCCCTGTCGAAATCTGATCCCATTCCCCAACTCACCCTGGATGACGACTCGAACACACTCATCTCGTCGACCGTTGGGAAGCACGTTGTCTTGGACTACGTGGCCGACTCGCCCATGTTCCGCAAGAACTTGGACGGCTTGGAAGAGTCCACGAGCGGCTTGCGGGGGTTCATGAAGGAACTCATGGCGCGGACAAAGGACTTCGTCGCGGCTGGCAAGGTTCTCGGCATCAAGGAGATCGCATTGGCCGAGATGTACTCGACCAAGTACAGTCGGTCGCTGTTCACGTCGTGCTACGCCGAGCTCGGCGATCTCTCGACGCTCCTCAACGACTTCCACGACACGCTGACGCAGATCCAGAGTTCGCGCGAGAGTATGCTCTTGAGCATCGAAGCGCTGCTTTACCAGCCCCTGGAAGCGTTTATCGACATGGAGCTCAAACACGCAGCCGACTTGCGCAAGGACGTGTCCAAGTCGAGCGACGAGTACGACGCATTGCTCGGCAAGTTTCTCAGCAAGCCCGTGTCCACCGCACCCCTCGGCATCACTCGATCCGGGTCGTCCTCGGTGCTGGCCGACGACACCGCCGCATCCTTCTCCCGCCAGCCTTCGTCCTCTACCATGTCCCCGCCATCAACCTCCTCCTCAACCACCACCGTCGACAAAGCGCTCACGGCCGCCCGATGCAAATTCGAGCTCGCGCGCTTCGACTGCGTCCGGTACTTCAACGCGCTGGACGCCAAGAAGAAGTTTGTCCTCGTCGACGCATTCAACTCGACGTTGTACTCGTACTTGGGCCACTTCCACGCTTGTCATGAGCTCGTGCATGCGATAGAGCCAACGCTGCGAGCCCGACAGCGCGCTTTGCAAGACGCCCGCGCGCAGTACGCCGCGGACGACGCCATGTTTGGCACGCAGAGAGACTTGCTGCAGTCGCGGCTGTCGGCGTACCCCTCGCACGTGGGGCTGCCGGTGGAAATCCTGTCCCGAGCCACCGCCGCCAGCCGCGTTCGAACCAACACCAATGACGTGGCAGGTCCACAGACCAGCTCGTCGTTGGTGGACAAGCAAGGGTACCTCCTCGTACGCACCGGGTCTTCGTTCTCGGCCAAAGCATACAAGCGCGTGTGGTACCAGATCCATCGGGGCAAACTGTACGCCATGCAAAAGAACAGCATGGAGCTGTCCATCGTGTGCGACCTCATCATGTCCAAAGTCCGAGTCTGCGGCAAAACCAAAGACCTGGCGCTGCCCTACACATTTGAAGTGCTCGACAACAACCAGACCAAGCATGTGTTGCAGGCCGCGAGCGACGCCGACATGCACGCGTGGATCGACGCCGCGACCCTCAGCACGGAGCGACTCCTCGGTGAGCAGCCCCTACACGACAAGGACGTCCACCCTGGGCACGCCGACGCCGTCTACGGGCTCATGGAGGCTAACCCGTCGTGCGCAGACTGTGACCAGCGGCCGGCCGAGTGGGTTTCAATCAACATTGGCGTGTTCTTATGCATCGAGTGCTCGGGCATCCATCGGAGTCTGGGCAGCCACGTGTCGAAAGTGCGCTCGCTGGCGCTGGATTCGTGGGACATGTCCCTCTTGACGTTGCTCGCACACTTGGGCAACGCCCCCGTCAACGCAATATGGTATACATGTATCTTCACCAAACTCGAAAGATGATATCCCAAGGAAATGATCCCAATCATGGACATGTAGGGAAGCCGAGCTCGCGCCAGGATGGACCCGGCCGGTGGCCACATCCCCCCGCCCTGACAAGGAAAAGTGGATCAAGGCCAAGTACGAGTTTCGGGGTTTTTCCACACACACGACGGACACGGCGTCTGTCGTGTTCAGTCGGTTTCTGCATGCGGCCGCCACCGGCGACGTCCGCCACCTCGTCCAAGGCATCGCCCACGGCGTGGACGTGGCCCAGAAGGACGGCGCGACAGGACGCACGGCGCTCCATGTGGCGGCCGCGGCGGGCCATGAGCTGGCGTGTGAATACTTGCTGCAGAATGGCGCGTCGCTGGGAGTGACGGACAAGCTAGGCCAGCTACCGTCCGACGCCGCCAAAGGCGGTGGGTTTGACGCACTCAAACTTGTCTTGTTACAGCGGATGCAATAGTAAACAAGTAGATCGTCCTTCCGACAGCATACACACCTCCATGATAACATTGTGATCATGTCCGACTTGTTAGAAATATGTGACAGCGCGTGCATTACGTGAAATTCATTCAGCATGTCCAAAGAGGCACATATAATAGACTCGTTGGACCCTTGGCCGCCGACATATTGGGGACAGTGTATATATATATATATATAATACATATATATATAATACATATATATATATATACTAGTATATGTATGTATTCTTCATTTAGCTGTTCAAACAGATGCATGTAGACTTGTAAGACGTGATGCTCGTTCCATATTTGCATTGAAACGAAATCGTTTCCAACAACGCTAAAGTCGCTTGGTCCATCCATCTACCGTATTTATATTTAGTTTGCTGTACCAAGTACTACGTAGTACTTCAATTTGAGATGCTGGAAGTTAGAAATATATCTTTGGGTTTGATATTTCATGGTGCAGATCAACGACATATAATTCGATAGAGCGTGTGTTTAAATAGTAACGTTAGCTTATAAATGGAGTCGGTGGCGAAGGAACCGGTCCAACACGGCGGCTTCGAACGCGGCGAACGAGTCGGCGCCAAACCACCGCGGCGGTCCGTCGCACTTGACTTCCAGGACCTTCAGCGCCAGTCGCGGCTTGTCGAGAATGGTTGGCCATAAAATCTACTCGTTTGATTTGAATGTTTAGATTTCTATTCGTAGGTATGTACAGTTAGTTGTACCTGAATCGCATCTGCCTGGTGCTTCTCGGACGCGATCGTGCGCAACACGTCGGGCACGATGGCGCTACCTCCATCATTGGACATTTGAGCTTTTTTTGCGCGTTTGGAGAAGGGGCAAACCTGATGAAAAACATGGGCGGCGTGTCGTGGTGCTGGAACCCATCGTGCTCGTGCACCCTTTATGGACAAAGGAGAGAGTGCCACGTCATAACACGACAAGTAACCACGTCATGTTACGTACCCGCAGGCGATTTCAAGTAGGTATATTTGCCTGTCGGGGTTGTCTTGTTGCTGTGCAAGTTGCTAGGACACGCGAAAATGGAAGGTCGATACACGAAATAGAATATATTTGTGTCTACCTCGATGAGAAACGAGATCATTTCAACAGGCGACGGATCCTTTCCGAGAAAGACCAGACCCGTAAACGACAGCCATCCCTACAAGTACAATGTCAATCCACACAGCGTCACGTTATAATATATATATAATATATATATATATATATTGACCGTGGGAGGGAGCATGGTGTCGGCCACCACGTACGGCGCGCCGTTGATCGCAGCGTTGGTCCATACGTAATGGTACGAGTCCGCGACGGCCACCCGCCGGAGGAACTCTGCGCAGAGAAAGTCGTCGAACGCTCCCAAGTCGAACCTCTGGCACTCGTCGATGGTCATGGTTGTGACAAAGTGCGCCGGACGGAGCAAAATGAAGTCAAACTCGAGGAGGCCGCGGGTGGGAAAGTCAAAGTCGACGTCCAACGACTCGGTGAGACGGAACGGGTACCCGTCGATCTCTTCGTTCCACCAGCACTCGCCAATGCCGTCCAGCGACCGCACGCGCAACTCGTGGGCCTACCATCGTGCCCATGATAGTACTCATCATAATATGATACTTCCTTGAAAGGGCGATTTGAACTGAGATTGGGGGAATTGCGATACACACATACAAAATGTACCAGCACGCGGTCAGCGTCGTTGGCCAGGTCCAGCCGGTAGTGGTGTGCGAGAACGTGGTGGGGATGGGGCGTAAAGTAGTCAAACTCGATCGTGCCTTGCATAGGCACCCTCCATTTCCACTTGGTCGCGGTGGACAGCGCCGCCACGGCCACACTCTGGGCCACCGCCCACGCCTCGAGCGACAGCGGCGCGCCGTCCAGCGTCAAGTGGCGCCACTCGTCGCCGACGTCGTGGGAGTTGTTCTGACTCCGTTGCACCCGTTCCAAGAGCTTCCACGCCATCGCCCGGTCCGACTTGTCTTGGAGTTTCAACCTTGTCAATTCATCATTCCATGAAACTTGACCAGCTTAGAATCGACACGATTGGCGTACTTGTAATGCGATTCGCAAAAGAGGGTCGTGGTGATGTAGTCCAGCTCGAGCACTCCCGTGGGATGCCCGTCGAGCCACCGGATGCCGGACTGCGCGAGCTCGTCAAAGTCGAACGGCACGCCGTCCAATGTCTCGTTGATCCAGTTTTCACCTACAACACCCCACCGCCATGCACATATGTTTAACTATGAGCTCATCGAAAATGTCCTTTTGCATGTAAAAAGCGCAGGCTTTCACGATTGGCTATGTAGTTACCACTTTCGGCTTCGGCTCGTTCCATGAGCGCTCTCGCCATGGCTCGATCGGACGGTTTGGCCAAATCCAGTCGGAAATGGATCATGTCGTCGGTCGCGTCGGCGGCGGCGGCCGTCGCGACGTACTCGAACCGGACGGTGGCGTTGGGCGGGATCCGGCCGAGGTGGTTGGCGTCGACTTTGAACTTGTTGGCTACGACGTGGTGAAACGTCCCCAGGTGCAACTCGTGCCGTCGCTTCAGCAACTCGAACGCCGTGCGCTCTGCCGGGACCTTGAGACTCAACCGGTAGTACCTACATGAATAAACAGTGGAACCCGTGTCGCAGAGTTTGACACGACGTACCCCGACGGATCTCGGGGGTCGTACGGCAGCGGAGGCGGCGCGTCCGTCGCGCGATGCTTGAACACCATGTGCTCCAAACTCAGTCGCAGCGGATGCTTTTTGGACCGTTCGCGCTGCTTGGCCGCTTGCAACATGAGCGACACCCCAGTCTGATCGATGGGGTTCTGGTCCAAGTTGAGCCGAGCCAGCCCCTCGTTGAATGTCACCGCGTCGGCCAGGAACCCCACGGACGCGCACGACAGCTGCGCACTTGTAAGATCGAGTGACTCGAGCGTCTGGTTCCGCAACAACATGGTCGCTACCAAGCAGCCAGTCTCGTCGCCCAGACGGTTCCACCCCAGACTCAGATGTTTGAGCGACTGGTTGGTGGTGGCCAGCGCCGTGAGGATCGGTAGGCATCCTGTCGTGGACATGGTGTTCCATGTCAAGTGCAACGCCTGCACCAACGTAACGCTGAGTGAGGGAGGCAAGGTGGGGGCTAGGCTATGAAGATAAGGAGCCAGAAGTCCTTACCTGGAGGTGGGTGTTGGCGAGCAAGGCGTGGCCGATGGCGGTGCCAGTTTTGTTGCGCACACGGTTGTCACTCAAGTCAAGGAACGTCAGCGATGAGTTGGTAGCTAACAAGGCGCCGACGGCGGTGTGAATGCGGTCGTACAGGTCGTTTCCCTTGAGCACGAGCCGCGACAAGGTCGAGGATGACGTGACGGCGCCGAAGAGGAGCATGGCGCTGCGCGTGCCGATGCGGTTGTTGGTCAAGTCCAGCGTCGTGAGGTGCGGACACGATGCCACGACCTGCGCGAGCTGGTGCCCTCCCGGCTCGAGGCTCCAGTTGTCGGTTAGATTGAGCTCGACCAACGCCGTGTTGTGTTGCAACGCGTGAGCCATCGCGATGATGCCGTTGTGGCCCAAGTTGAAGTGCGCGCAATCCACAACCAACGCAGGCAGCTGACTAATCACGCGCTTCGACGGCAGTACTTGCTGCACGGCGCACTGCTGCAAGTACACCCCCACCAAGTCCACGGTGGGTCCTCCCGGTGTATGTGGCCCTATCAGGGGTAGCACTGATTCCACGGCGGGAGCATTGGGCTTGGAAGGACTAGCTGCTGCGATGTCGGTTGAGCCGACGGTGGCTACTGGTGGCTTGGTTGGTGAGCGGGTAGTCGGTTTGGGTGGCGTGGCGCCGTCCCCCGACCCGGGACCGCTGCTTTCGCCGTCGTCGTCCGAGTTCTCGTCCACTTCGTCCAGGGGGACGTCGCTCGCGGCTGGCCCTGCGGCGGGGGATGCTGGTGGCAGGTCCTTCTTGGGCTTTGAATCCAAAAAGATGCTGAACGAGTCGATCTGCTTGAGGATGGCCATGATGCGGGTCGACGTGCGGATAGAAAAGACAGCTTTGGTCATGTTCTCTCGCATTTGGCCTTCGCGGCCGTAGATGCTAATCGCAACAAACTTTGTCAGGGACAGCGCTGCAACTATGTAGCACACACAATACACACCGCTCTTTCGTGTACAGTTGATACAACGACTCGACCGAGCCCACCCCAAACATTTTCACGATGCCCTAATGCAAGCGCATCAGGTACGAACAGTCGCCAGACAAACCTCCAAGGGGCTGCATACCTTGGCTTCGTAAATGTCAATGCCAAACAACATGCGGGCGTTCTCGACAGTCGGAAGGCCGAGTCTTTCTTCTTCCGACACGGGACTTGTAAACGCAGTGGCCCACACTTGCCGCATGCGATAGAACAGCGGCGGCAGCTTGCGCTCCACTGGTGCGATGTTTTCAGTCAAGTTGACTGTGCTGTGGGTCGCCTTGAGCGTGGGGGCGATTGCAAGAGTTCGACGGACCAATTCTTTGGTTGTGCGAGCCGCTTTGAGTGTCTTCAGGGGCTCCAGCATCCCCACGGTCGCAGATTTCAACGACGACTTCAGGTGCGCAGACTGAGTCCACTCGTCGCCGTCGTCGTCATCGTCACCGCCGCCGTGAACGGGCGTGGCGGCATACATGTCATGGAAGCGGCCTTCGAGGTAGTTGGAGATGCTCTACATTGTCTCTTTAGCCGTGACCTCGACGGACGTAGGCCGTACCTGCGACTGCTCCATGTGATCCAACATCCTATCACACAGTCCGATTATCTCTCTATGCATGTGCCATCCATTTCGATCGATCGATCGTACACGAGATGGTTGGCTTGGAAGCCGGATGACGACAGTTGGCGATCGTGCAGTTCCTGCAGGCGCATCACCACTTGATCCTTCTTCATCGGGGGCAACCCTCCTTTCTCATACTTTTTCTGGCGCTGTTTCCTAACACGTTGGACGAGGCTGTGCATGTGTCGGCCACATCAAATGCTTGCCAAAGGCTTGCCGTTTCTTTAGACGTTTCACATTGTTGTTGCTTTAATCGATAGTTAATACTTCGAAGTAGTAAATACTAAGGGGATGCTGCTGCCTTCCCCCCCCAACTAAGGGGCTGGTTAATATAGTTAGTTGGCCCCCCAACTACTAACTACTGTAGGGGCTGTTTAATATAGTTAGTTGGCTACAGCATCGCGCGCTGCGCTGTCACGCACAACTGACACGTATTTTGATCCAAGCAGTCTGAGCAGCACACGGCGCCGCATCGTCGGCAGTGGTGGCGGCGGACGAAAAAGTTGAACGTATACTGGCACACCATGCAGTCGGCCACGTCATCGTCTGGAATCCACTGCGGCGAGGTCGTCATGTACGGGAGCAACTACGCCATATAATCATAGTGTCAGGTGTGTTCCCAACACTAGAAACCAAGCAAAATGGACACACCTGGTGAGCCATAGCCGACGCATGCAGCACCCTCTTGTGGTGGGCATCAGGCAGCGTCATGCTAGCTCCGCTTTTGACCAATGCCACAGCTTGCTCCAGGTTTCCTAGGCCACCACTTCTACATCAGACGAGTCCCATACCCACCCCACCAAAGAGAGACAGACATGCATGACTACCTCGCTTCACGGCAATGTGCAACGGGGTCTTCCTGTCGATGGAATACAGATTAGGGTCCGCTCCACAGGCCAGCAAGCGGCCCACGAGCTCGTCGTCTCGCCGCAGCAGCGTGCAAATGTGGAGCGGCGAGCGGCCGAGGACGTTCTGCGCGTTCGCGTCGGCGCCCAGCATCAGGTACAGCTCCATCACGTACGCCGCCTTGGGACGACATGACGCGCACGCCAAATGCAGCACCGTGTTGCCGTCCTTGTCGGGCATATTGACGTCCAGCGATGGAAATACGTCGGGGCGGCAAAAAATGCTATAGGAAGAGAGTGAACGACTACGATGTCTATGTTGAGTGTACCCAGAGATTTCCATGTTGGCCATTTGGGCGGCGACGTGGAAGGCCGTGGCGTGGGATACAAAGTCGGTAATTGTGACGCTGGCATGGTGTTGAAGGAGCAAGAGCACCAACGCCGCGTCTCCCTGCATTCCAACATGACGTGAGTTTGAAGTCTGAAAGAAGGAGAACGAACCATCTCTGTAGCCAGGTGGAGCATCGTTCGCCCGGATGGATCTTGCACATCGGGATTGCAGTCTCCTCGGCGTAGCGCAGCCTCCACTAGCCCGAAATCGATCACCCGATGGGCTAGTAGGTCTGATAAAGAAGAGGTTGGTTTGGCCAAGGTGGGGAGCCCTCCTGTCGACTGGGGCGCCTACACATTCGTCAGAATGCTAGTACCTTGGTATGGTTACTAGACTGTACTACTGTACATGATGGATAGATGGAGGGGCTTGAAAGTTGATGCCGACTTCGTGGATGGGAGCGAGAGGGGGGGCATACCCAGAACTTCTCAAAGCATGTGACGGGGGGGTTGGGGGTCCAACTGCGTCTGGCAACGTGTGCTCCCCTGGGGCTTGGCTTGGGCGCACAGAGACACTTCCCTCGACAGGGGCGACTGTTTCCTTGTCCGGATCCAAATCCGAAGGCGCCAGGTGATGCCGCGGAACGCCTTGTGCTGCAGTGGAATTGGTGGCAATTGTAGACGCCACTTTGGATGGAATAACGGGATGTGTCCACGCCGGAGTGTTTGCAGTAGGGGGTGGTAGTACATGAGACATGGGCTGTGTTGATTCGACCAGAAGCACTGGGGGACTTCGTTTGGGCTCCAGCACGTGCACTCGTTCTGGCTGGGACGGTCCTACCTCGGGTGGAGTTTGGGTTGCACTTGGTCGTTCACGTTTTTGCTCCGTAGCTACGACGCTTGAAACAGTGTCACTTGAACTGTTCTCCACAGACAGGTCGAGAGATGCCAATTCAGTCGTTTCTTGGTCGAGTTCGTCACTGGAACGAGGTGTGACTTCCGACAGGATGGCTACAGGAGGCTCTTCGTCGGCTGCCGTAAACAGACTAGTCGGTAGTTGGCCCACCTCCTGGGCCCCCACTTGCTTTAACGAATACTCAGTGGGCATGCATGTAGCTGCTGGTACAATGGGCCGCCCTTGTACGGATTTGGTGGGAGTGGTGATGCTGACCTCGTCTAGCATCTCACTTTTCAATGGACGACTCACTCGTAATGCTGCGTCAGAGACGGCGATCATGGTCGGGGAAGAAGACATTGTTGTCTGTTGCATCTCCACCAGCATTTGCTGCAGTCGTCGCAGCTCTGTCTCCGCTTCCTCTGCTCGCTGATTGGCCATGGTCGCTTGGGTTTTGAGCTGGTGCAATTCCTGGCGCAGCTGATTGCGCTCGACAATCGTGTGCTGCAGCGATAGGGCATCCTTCCTCAGCTGCTTCACGTGCAGTTTGGCCAGTCGACATCGCCATGCACATTGAATCGTCCGCGTTGCTGCCAAAGTTGCTAGGAACGCTCGTCGTTGCTTCGCCCCTCGCCAGCAACTTTGCAGACACACGACCCCCAACTGCCGCCGAAGGTCCGTCGCGATCTGTCGACCAATCCGTCCTCGGTACCTCGCTTGCAGCCACACCGCCACCAATCTACACATTCAACACACACATCAGGGATCGTTTTTGCACGTTACTTTGTCATCATGGCGTGGCTACTAGGTAGTAGACTAGTTAGCCATGCATGCCGCCTACCTCGTGGCCCGTATTCGTCGGCCGTGTTGACGTGCCAGATGTCCTCGAATTAGTCGCTGCAGCGTCGCCGTCGCCGCCTGGATCGTCCAGTACTTGTGTCGGCAGAACGCCATCTTGGCAAACGCTTGGAGCGTCACCGCGTGCTTGTGCAGCGCCGCCGCGCGCGTCGACTCCAAGAAATCGTAGGTCGATTGGCGTAGAAACACGAGCGTCTTGCCTCGTTCGATGCCAAAGGCAAACCATTTCGAAGGCACAACTCCATCCGTGACGCTGTCCCGACGCGGCCACCCAGCCGCGCCCCATGCCGCGACCAACTGCGTCAAGACGGCGTCGATGGCCGAGTGCCGACTGGCTCTGTTGTGCGACGACGTGGAAAGTGGGGGGGGTAGCAGCACCGCGCCATACCGACCGACAAACAACGGGTGCGCCATGTGCACTGGGTACCCGAGGCGGGAGATGGTCACGGCTTCCAGCACCCCCCCGTATCGCAGCTGGTCGGCCATCCGCTGTCGGTCAAACGTGTGCTTGACGTTGGCGTCGTTGGGCTTGAGGCATCGAATGTAGTGCGGCGTCGTGTGCGTGATCATATCGAGGAGGTGTTGCAGCTGGCGGCGAAACTGCGCGCCTAGTCCCGTCGACACTATCGATGACTTGCGCCGCATCACGATGGGGGGAGAGGGCCCCCCCCTTGGGTCGTCGTTCTCTTCGTCGCCGTCGTCCCCACCACTCAGCCGACACATGACGCGCACAAACGGGTTCTCTGACGACGCCAGCAGGTCCAGCATCGCCTGGTGCGGCTTGTCGCGGTTCTTTTCACAAAATCCGTCGGCTGTGTACCGGACGGCGCCGGCGTAGTGCACGACAACGAACGCGCGGTTCACTTGATCCCGCTTGGATGCCTGAAAGTGGGCGTGGCTGTGGTATATCTGGTACAACTTTCGCACAAATCCAGCGTCCGAGCCTTTGGGCACGTTGCATTCTTCGTCCAGCAGCGCCAAGACGCCCGTCGGTCGCGCCTCGAGCACTTCCAGACACCCGTCGTTCATGGGCAACTCGAGCAACGTCCATGGAATGCCCTCCGATTGGTACCGGCCTTGCTCTTGGGTCATCACAAAGTCGATAAAGTGGTGCTGCAGCCGCTCGTTGGCGTAGTTGATGCACAGCTGCTCGAAACTGTTGACGTCGAACGACTCGAACCCAAAGATGTCGAGCACCCCAATGAACTTGGACGATTCCAAAGGACTCGATGACCCGATGCATCGGTTTACCTTGGCCACGACCCACTCAAACAAGTACCCGTAGATGGACCGCGCCAGCGCATCCCGCGCGTCGTCCGCCTGCTGCGGCGTCAGGTGGACCTGGTACCATTCGTCCTTGGCTTTGATCTGGCGACTTGTCAGCGCCTCCCGCAACCGGTTGACGTCCACGGCCAGCAGCTCCGACACATACGCTAATGGCTGCGGCGATCGAATTTCGGAGGATGGCGCGTCGCCCGTCGTGACGGAACCGAACGTCATGTTGCCCAGATGGAGCAACCCTCCCACAACGCCCAAGATCGAGTCCTACGTATGGAATTGTTGGCATAATATATGTATCGTTGAAAATTCACAAAGTCAGACATGGGAATGTCCTATATTATAGATATTTGTATATTGTGTTTTTCGCCCAATTTGTCAATTTTGTGGGATTGTTGAAATCACCGAGAAAACAAGCAAGCCGTATGATTGGATAATAATAAGAAAAGTTGCAATTTGATTGGCTAAAACAAATGAATATTCACTATGATACCTCTTAAACTTCAATATATATATATTTATCACATTTCGCAAGTCCAGCGATTCTTGGGCGGTTCACTCGGTTCACTCAACCAACCGCTCGAGGAAATGATGCGTAGAAGAGACAATAATACTATATTAGCAAATCCGACTGTCGCCCTGGAAAGATGCAAATATATACCATCTAAATATATATATATATATAATGGGAATGTTCAAATATTTTCACAGGTCGATGGTATGAGTTGGCACACCCAAGTGTATCAAAACTGGAAATGATAATAAGCAATATATATATATATATATATATATATATATAGGGAACGTACTATTACATGGGCTTGAAAGCCAACGATGGACATGGCGCGCATGGTTTTGTGAAACGTGTCGGCGTCCGACACTTGATCCCGCCGAGTGACGCAGCCGCTTTGGTTCAAGTATGCAAACTTGGACACGTCCATAGGATCAGCCAAGTGCAATCTCGTTTGGAGGGTCCTACAAAGAGCCAAAGGTCACGTGGAGGCATGGACGGGCGGACGGACGCACCGATCTTGCGCGGCACCGGCGAGGACTTCGTAGAAAATATGAAAGTTGCGCTCGCCCGTTGCTTGATGTACGAGTCGAACCTTCTCCAGCAGGTACGTCTCGATGGAAGTGCCGACGAGGCGCAGTTGGGCGTGATGGCTGTCAGTGGCAAACCAGATTTTGACAAATTTGCCAAAGCGACTGCTGTTGTCGTTGCGGAGGGTGCGCGCGTTCCCAAACGACTCGAGGATCGGGTTAGATTGAAGCACTTGGTCGGAGATGTTGGCAGTGCCACACTCATGTGAAGGGGCTGTGGAATGGGGAGTGTGACTGACTGCAGCTAGGTACTGCATGATAAACTTGGTCGTCTCGGTCTTGCCCGAACCACTTTCGCCGCTCACGAGCACCGTTTGGTTCTTGTGCTTGTCGACGGTCAACGCTCGATACGTCTCGTGGGCAGTTGTGAAGACATGAGGATGGCGGTGACGGTTGCTGGAAGACGCAATCGTCGATTGGAATGCTGACACGTCGTACAATTTGGGAATGACTTTGAACGGGTTCATGGCCAAGAGCATGTCGCCAGTGTGACAATACACTTTGTCGCCGAGGAAGCGCTCTTCAAGGCAATGTACCATGGATGGTTCATTCAAATGCGTCAACATCCCCAGGTCATCCAGGTCCATCGGACACGTGACGTTCCCTCGGAGAATCTCCATGGATGTGTCGATGGTGCTCCACGGCACGGTCCGTCCGTCTTCGAAGTCTACTTCGTCTCCACAGAGCGTGCCTCGTACCCAAGAGTATGTCGCTCCATCCTTCTGGGTCTTGTTTCGTCCCCACACTGGCCCTTCGTTCATGGGCACCAGCCGAATCCAGCAACAGCGACGACTGCTTGAAGTTGAATGCAATAATATTCTCGGCGGCGGCTGAGTTCTTCCCTCAGATGTCGACGTGCATACAAACATCAAGAGAAACTAAAAACCACTTCGATTTATCGATCAGAATGTTGATAATCTACCGTATTCTGGGAGCATTCCTAGTAACGTTTCTGTACTACTAGTACTACTATCATCAAGCATACAGTGTGCAACATCGACGGACCCAAGTAGTTTCATAACTATCATACTGTACATCCGGAAGTGAACCCGAAGGCATAAGTTTGCTTTGGACGACGGTGATGACGTGGAATTCACTTGTGAGATCCTTGACCAACTTCCCGCCCTTTATAGTCAATAGTAGGCCGTCATTCCAACCTGCCCCTGGATAGTCTGGCTGAAGATGCTCGAATTTGTAGGGCCTGACTATTTCGGTCTCACAGTGAATTTACACAATGGGGACCAAAGCTCTCCCGCGCTTTAGTTGGACAAGGTCGTTATATTGTACTGTATGTACTGTACATGACTTATGGACGATGCGGTTGAGAATGGCGGCTGTTCTAATGTGTTGATTGATGGAAGTAAGGAAAATCGGTCATTCACACCTGAGAACTTGTGTCACTGCTCAGCGAAGGTTGTGCTTTGGCTGGGCTGCCGATGCACTGGACGAGTTCAGTGAAATGTGAGGTTTGAAGGATCTATTTGCCAAAAAAAACATTACTTCACTTAAAATAAATAAAAGCATAAAGGAAAGTGATTGTTTAAACGACATGACACCGATGATTGGACAAAATTATCCATTGACAACCTGTTATTGGCTCATTCGTCAAAACTGTACTCATATTTTACAGTCGAAACTGTAAATCTGGCCGATTTCGCGGTAAACTAGATTGTGTGTTCTACTCAAAATTCCCTCCAGCGATTGGTTGAATGAACCGCGGAACAATCGCCCGACCTTCGAAATTTCATATAAAACTAAGTTGAAGAGGTATCTTTGTACTGTAAATAATCCGGATAGAGCTGTAAAATACTCCGGAGTAGCGTTTATGCTGAGTCTCGATGCGACCTGCTCGACTACATCAAGATGCAACACACACTGCCTCTGACCCCGGCACACAGGACTGCACGATTCAGGTGGGCCATGGACCATGCCGAGAATCCATTCGATTGGTCGAATGTTGTCTTTTCGGACGAAAAGAAGTTCAATTTGGACGGACCGGACGGCTACAAGAACTACTGGCATGATATTCGGCAGCCGAAGCGAAGCTTTGCCACGCGAGATCAAGGTGGTGGCTCCGTCATGGTCTGGGGTGCAATCACCAGGTGCGGAAAGAGCGCACTTGCTATCTTGACAGGAAAGCAGAACTCAGGTGACTATATTTTCACTCTCTCGGAGTACCTCTTGCCTTTTGCTCACCTAAAGTCCTCCAAGGGACCCGTTGTAGTCGAGATGAACGCGTGGGAGCAACCGTTGAAGTGTCAGATCCAAGCCTTCTGCACGACTTCTTGCTGACGGACCAGTTCCACCGTGTGCTTAACACGATCATGCTGTCGATCGTGCTGCTGCTGGCGCAGTGAATGTGGTCCATGGCAACGACCTCACGCAGTCAGTCATGTGTACGACGGTCGGCTATATGAGCGTGGCAACGATGCCGAGCCACGGCTTCACGATCATGTCTGTATCCGAGTCCGGTGGGCGCATTTGCAAACCCACGACAACACCACAGCAAGGCACGGATGGCGAGACCACGGGAGGACCTCCCCTTAGAACAATTTCAGTTGGACTTCGATCGATTCAGCGTCTCTTGAATCGACTTCCACGATACTAAGGACATTTCGGTGACCCTCACCCCCAACACACTCACAATCTTGGGCAGACTTGCATGTCCAGCCTGGTCAGTGGAAATCCACCAAGTCGGAGGACGTCGAGTGGCTGGGTGGATCCAGCACGCCTCTTTGAATGACAGCACTTTGTTCACTTTGACGTTGCCAATGATAACGACTGCATCGTGTCAGCTCGCGGAGATTGGCGAGCGAGGCATCCACTGCAGCGGCGGGTAGAAGGCGCATAAGAGCTGTACGTGTTGTCTCCATAACCTCGCTTGGTATCACGACCCACGTACACTTCGCAACTGTCGTCGTTCCTAGACGTTATGACGTGCGTCGAACGGCAGCAATATAAATCGCTGGACACGGAAGGAGACTCTGATGGGCTGCGCCTGGTGACGTCGCCAAACCTCCTGCCACATGGCTCGTGCAATCCAGCCAGTTGGACTTAATGTTGAAGGACCTGTCGGTTGAGGTCAACGGAGGGGAAAGGTGGGCATGTGAGCCAGAGTTGGCTCATGGAGGCGCTCTTCCGTACGACGGAAAGAGATGGCGGATGCATCGAGATCGGGGTTCGCGACTGACCATCATCTGCCAGACACAGAGACAATTTGCGCTTCAATTTGAACATGACCACCGAAGTGCTTGCGATGATGAGTTGTGCAAACAAAGGTGCACAATATTTTTTGTTGCATACTAGTAATCGCTAGCAACAAACACTTCATACTAACGTTAGTATGAACATTGTAGCTCACAGGCCTAACTACAAAGTGAGCTGTTCAATACATCCTCAATGTGGATATTCTCGAGTCATTTGTCACCGTAACGTTATTACATTAATATTATTGTGCTTTTTCACCTTTTTTGGCTAATCCAGGTCTAAAACCATGCTTTAATAAAAAATCATCCTAAAATTACAGCACTCGCCGTGATTTTACGGATGCAAGATGAAGTACATTTACGGTTCGCGTTGAATTATAATTATTCGTGATGCTTTGATTGGCTAAGAATTGGTGGAAGTGTATGGTTTTATCTTATTCAACTTGTTTTACGACATGTGTTGGAGATGTGTTGTGCTTGTCCAAGTTTATGGCATTGAAGTTGACGTCGTTCGCCTCATAGTTGGACTCTCACGACGTAGCGTAACAAGATTCAACACGGTGTTTACATCTACGGGCAATGTGACTAAGTTGACGAAGCGCTCGACGGATTCACGCTGGCCTACTGAGGTCAACGCCTGGGTGAACGAATGCGCCACAGTCCATCCATGATTCTACATCGAGGAGCTTGAAGACGCACAGCGACACCAGTTTCCGACGCTCAAAAATGTATCTGCGGCAACGATATGTAGAG